TCTCCAAATAGTAGATTTTCACCATCTACCAGAAGCGAATGCAGGAGATAGGTGAGGGAGTTCATGTTCATGTTCAGCCTGCATGAAAAACTCAGAGTGACAGATTATAATCAGAAATAAGAATTAAAAAATGGTTTCTCAGTGATCCACACCTTTAAAGTGAGGGTCAAGGCATGGGTGGGGATGTATTTCATCCACACTTCCTGTTAGGAAAGCACTTCCGAAAGAGGCGTCACCTGGCAGACTGAGAGAGCGGCACTGAGGCACTGATAGACTGCACCCCACTCACCCCCCCCCCCCCCCCCCCCGCGCGTGTGCTGTTGGAGTTTCTCTATCTAAAAATGAGTTGTTAACGAGCGCGTGCATGCAAGCACGCACTCGCACAAGACTTACCGCTCAGGAGAAAAGCAACAGATTCTGTAGCATTCTGGAGGATTTCCAGAATGCCACGAAGATTAGATGAAAAGGGGAGGAGGGCATTTTTATCAAGGAGGCAAGCGGCTCAGAGCGCTAATGTGTCAAATTGGCAGGTGAGTGGCTGAGCCAGGTGGAGGTGCGGCTGCCTCACCTGGAGACCAGTGTGGTGCAGCCACGTAGTACTTTGCTGACAATGTCATGTTTTTCAGCTTAACCATCAGCCACAGCTGGTTCTACATGAATGTGGAGCAGAGTTTTAACCTGAAGATGGAGATAGAATTATGGTTTTGGGCTGAAATATTAAATTTAAAGAAAGTTGCACTAAACTGCCACACTAAGGATTACACATGTGTACAGCACCATTAGACACATCTATACAGGTTATCAGCACAAAAAAAAAAGTTAAATTAGGCGTTACTTGCTCTTTAAACTCAAACATCATGTTTAACCCACAGAAAACTGTTACAAAGAAATACAAAAGAACTCAAAGCCTACAAATGAAAAATCTTTACAAGAAAAAAATTGATATATGTTCTCAGTGGGACCTTTTGGAGCCTTCACAGACATACGATTCTTAATAGCTCAGAAAGCTGTCTCCTAAAACCAGGTCTGTTCACATTCACAAAAACGAGCTGCACGTTTCTGTTAAATTTGGAAAGATGTCAAATTGATGCAAAGTAGCAACTGTCTTGGCTTCAGCAGTTCCTGAAGAGTCCGGTTCCATTTCTACATTTCAGGGCAAAGTCCCGGCGACAGCGACTCATGGCCCCACTAATCTGTTGACATTTTTGTCAACACGGCACTCGAGCTTGTTAGTTAAAATGGGGTTTAAAAGATTAGCTTGATTGCAGTGCTTTTGTCATTAACTTCTTAGCGTGTTGCTATACAACCACTCTGGCAGAGCCCGTTGGCGCTGGTGTGACTGAATCAGCTAAACACCGCCAGACTATTTAGGTGAGGTCAGTTGAGGATCCTTGTATTATGATTACTTGCTCCATGTCCTAACTTAATGAGATGTACCTCATATCTCATTTCCTTAATTGCACATCCTCTGTTCTTCTCCTCTCATCTTAGTCCAAGCTGCCAGGGCAGAAGAGAGGAGATGAAGCAACAAGTTCATCAAACTGAGATTCCCTTAAGGAGCAATTATTGAAAACAATATCTTGCAGAATCTTTTCACCCAGATCATCATGAAACAATATTTCCAAATCAAGATCACAATGTTATGTAAAGCAAACACTCATGCAGTCCTCTTTCGTTTTCAGTCAATTTTAAATATAAATTAAAACCGTGGTGACAAGACAGGAGGACAGAAAAAAGATTAGGCGAGAAGGCATGCATTAAACAAATGAGATGATCTGATTCTGCGTGGAACCGAGCCTCTGTCAACCACATTTGCATTGTCTGGACCTCCCCGGCTGGAAACGTCCAAATGCCTACTATGTGAAAAACGGACATGTTTAGAGGGTTTATGCAAACTCTGTTAATCTAATACAGATTGGGGGGGGGGCATTCTGATATGAAGCTATATTCATATAAATGCTAACAACAACCTCTGGTTCACTACACTGCAAAAACGGATTTCTAAGAAAGTTAAACAAAACTAGTTTTTGGACATTTTATCGTATTTTTTGGGGGGTGTTGTGTAATTGCATTACCTAAAATAAGGTAAATATTCTTAAATATGATCCAAATTTTCTAGTTTTAAGTTTAAAAACATCTCCCAATGGGTTGCAAAGGTTGATTGGCTAGATTTCTTAAAACTAGCAAAAATGATTATTTAGCATTTTTTTTAAAGATTCACCCCCAAATCAACTTGTTTTTGCTGATAAACTATAGAAATGAGTGTCTAATCATGCTGTAGACACATGTAGTCAATAATTTGGCACTTTAGTTCATCTTGGTTCAAATTTAAATATTTTGCTTAAAACTGAATTTAAATCTGCCATCACCACTGCCTAAGAGGTACATTATGACATTAGCTGGTGCATTATGATGTCACATTGTCGTTATGAGCTTATTTTTGTGTATTTGTTAGTGGCTCCGCCCTCTCAGTATGCCAGCAAATGAAGGGCGAAAGGCTGGAAGTGCGAGTTTTATGATTGGGCCTAAGACTCTGGTAGGGGAGGACTTGCTCTTTAAGAATTCTAGCCAATCAACTTTTGCTTAGACTTTTTTTATACTCCCGACAAGAGAATTTGGATTATATTTGAGAATTTACCTTATTCATTTAACCTTTTTTAAGTAATGTAACATTTCTAGAGAATAACTTTCTTTTTAGACCAAAAAATAAGATCATTAAATGTAATTTTTTTTCTTTTACAGGGGCTATGTTGTCTCTGTTGGGGATCACAAATCAAATTACAATGACATGTGGGATCCCCCAAGGCTCAATTCTAGGACAGCTACTCTTCCATCTCTATATGCTCCCCCTGGGTTAAGCCATAGTTAATAACAACATTGCCTATCGCAGCTATACTGATGACACCCAGATCTACCTAGCCCGATCACCTAGTGACCATCGTCCACTGGACTCACTCTGTCAGAGCCTAGAGCAAGTAAACGACTGGATGCAGTCAAACTTCCTTCAGCTAAACAATGGCAAAACTGAAGTTACTGTCTTTGGCAACAAGAGGGATAGAATGGATGTTATTGCTCAGCTAGACTCCAGGGGAATAAAGACAAAGACCCAGGTTAGAAATCTTGGTGTTATTATTGACTCCGACCTGAGCTTCTCTGGACATATTAAGGCTGAAACTAAATCAGCGTTTTATCACCTTCATCAAATATCAAGAGTCAGAGGTCCCATGTCCTGACTCCTGACCAGACTTAGAGAAACTCATTCATGCTTTTATTTCTAGTCAGTTGGACTATTGCAATGGTCTCCTAACTGGTCTACCCAAAAAAAGCTGTGAAGCAACTGCAGCTTGTTCAGAATGCTGCTGCTAGAGTCTTCACAAGAACTATGAGAACGGAACACATCACTCCTGTTCTTAGATCTCTACACTGGTTACCAGTAAACTACGGAATAGATTTCAAAGTGCTCCTGCTAGTTTACAAATCACTCAATGGCATGGGACCAAATAACATGTCAGATCTCATCCCAGTATATACACCCAATAGGGCTCTGAGATCATTAGAAAACAATCAGCTGGTAGAACCACGGGTCAGAACCAAACAGACCTCAGATCTGCCCCAGCCCTAGAGTTGTTTAAAACAAAACTTAAAACCCTAATGTCCTCATCAGCCTTTGAATGAATAGTTTCTTATGCTGCATCACCTCCACTGTAATCTGTGATGTAATAGCTCAACCTTAATTCTGTCTTTTCCCTTTAGCTCTAAATTATAATTTTATCTGTGTATATTTTTAATTTGTGTTTTCATGTTTGTTTTTGTGCCATTTAATGCTAATTGTAAAGCACATTCAATTGCCCCTGTGTTGTAAATGTGCTATTTAAATAAAGCTGCCTTGCATTACTTCTTAGAAATCTGTTTTTGCTGTGTTGTTTTTTAAATTATTGGTCTCTGGGGAAAGTATCACTTGGAATACCAGGGGAATACATAATCATCAACTGATAAAGTGATAAGCGTGTTACTTTAGGTTCAAATTTCAGCAGCTGCATTTCTTTAGGTGAAATTTAAGAATGTGAAAACTTTTAGAAAGTTGGGTTCTAAAAAAAGGCCTCGGTGCCAGTGGAGCGCCGAGGCCCCTCTCTCTCTAAACTCAGTAAAGCACATTCATTATTAATCTACCACAGTCTTAACCCCCTTCTCTGTTCTGCCAATTACAGCCAGGGCCTGGCGACTGCTGCCTGGCTCATTTGACACTGCGCTGGTTGGCTTTGATGTCTCTATCAACACCAAAGAACCCAGCAGAGTCTTAAAAGAGCAAAGGGGGGGATTATGTTACAGCAGCCTACAGAGGGGTGGAACTTTATTCTAGTTTTTCAAACATATGTTTAATTCATACTTTATTTTATCATCAAGAGACTTTGGGCCAGGGTCTGGCCCGTCTCTGCTCTCCGATCAGAGACATGGTTGTTAATCCTGTTACTCTTTCATTCGGGGAGTCACACCAGTTTGCAAGCAGAGCAGGCGAGTCTGCCCGAAGCTTCGCAACCCTCCTCCCTCCCGGGGTGGTAGCCGTTCCTTCCTCTACTTGTCTCGTGAACGCCTTGATGAACCAGCTGCCAACTCACATGCAACCTTGATGCTTTCGCTTTCTTTTCACCCCCCCCCCCCCAACAATGTGATGTTTGACTGGAAATTGCAAAACACAAATGCCTATTTTGTCTGAAGTTAAACTTTGAACAATTCTGTCCCTTCCCCACCTCAGGTCTCCTATTTGGAGCCCTGACCTTTAAAAAGCAGGAAGTCATTGTTAACACAGCTCCCGACAGCCCAGCAACAACCTGCTTTGCAGCATTTTTCCTCTAACTAACTCACAATTTCCTCCCCAACCTGCTGCTCAAACTCACAAATTTATAGATTAGTCATATAACCCAAGAAATAAGAGCTGTGGCCCAACCCATTTTAAACCGGTGCAACTGATGAAGACTGCAGAAGACATCTCAACAGGTGGATTCTTTAAGAAAATGACAACATTGCATACATTTATTAGGGATGGACTCCAATTCCAGTACATGCAAATGACCACTGTCCTCTGAATGTAGTGTTGACATTATTGCAAACACTTGTCTCCCTGCTGTTTTTGTGTATTATAACTTTTTATTATCTTAGGATAAAAAAACATTAACAATTACATGGGATGCCTTGTTCTGCATAATTTAAACGTATACACAGTGGGAACAGGAATGGCAATGCTTTTAGACATCATCACAGCCTCTTCGTCAACCCCACCCCAACCCCGCTGCCTACATGCAGTCTGCACTGCACAAAGGCCAAAAGTCACATGAGACAGCCTGCAAAGAGCACAAGAAGCATTCACAGTAAAGGAATCTAGGAAGGAGGGATAAGGAGGAAAGGTGAGGAGTAGAAGATGACAGGAGGAGGGAGGAAAGAAACAAAGTGACTGCAGCACTGGCCTTGGTTTAGACAGGAGAAGGAGCAGCATAGTCCTAGTATTTCATTCAAACTTCTCCCACACTTCCACTCCAGTCTCCTGATTGTGGATCTCTTTCCATTGTCTTTGACACAAAAGTTTGTTTATATATGCATGTATATATGTATATACATATATGTAAGTATGTATGTATGTATATATATAATATATATATATATAAACACCTTTTTATAGCTACAGCACCTTTTCCCATGGGGCAACAGTGTCGATACCTCACACATGGTACACTGCTGTGTAAAAAAAAAAGAAAAAAAAAAAAGAAAAATAAAACAATATATTGGTCAGGTTATTTATCTTTTTTTCCCTAAAGTTGGCATTTTGACATGATGATATTCTATTGCCGTCTGGAGGAAGGAACAAAGGTTCTTTCTTTTGAGTTTATATTCAAGTTTTCTCCTTTTTTCAGGTGTATAATTTCTTCTCTTCCTGCTTTAAAAGAGTTCACACTTTAGTGATTTGCGTGTGCTGCTCTTCATCAAAAGGTTCATTTTCCGGATCAGAGTCAGTGGTGTCTGAGTATCGATAATGGTCTGGCTCATTGTCGCTAACGTCCGGGGTGACGATTGTTGAATTGCTAGAGTTTGAGGGCTCCTCCACCGTTTTTGTAAAATACAACTTCACCTGCAAATCAAGACGAAGGATTTTAGATTCAGGAACTGAAAACAAAACTCGTCACAGCTTCTCTACCTGCACTCACCTTGAAGTTTGGAGAGAAGTAGCGGTTAGCCTTGTCTTTATTGGCTTTGTCCAAGTCGTTCTTCGTGAGTGTGAGGATGAGGTATTCCTTGTCTTTTTCCCCCTTTTCCCTTTCCCCGTCCCTTTCCCTGTCCCCGTCCCCGTCCCAGCAGCTGTCCCTGCCATCAGCGCACTGCTGCAGGCCCAGGCCCAGACCCAGACTCAGGCCCGGTCCTCCCTGCTGGCTCTCCGCATTGTTCACCGTCCCGTTCTCCATCTTCTCCCCACCTTCTTCTGGTCCAGGGATGAAGAAGGTGTTCACCCAGAAATGAAACATTTTGTCCTGAAGGTGAAGAAGGAAGAAAATGGGACAGAATTTCACTCAATTGCTTCAGTCTTTGGAGCTAAAGTTGACGATAATCTTCTGGGTTTTTATTTTATTGACACCAAACCAGAAAGAAACTCAAATAGATTCACATGCTCTTCTCAAAAATATAAAAAAAAAAACAGCCCATGATGTTTCTAAATCATACTTTTCATTGTAGATCTGTTTTCAGCCTTGGGTTAATGCTCACTGCAGTAATTAAGGCAGAAACACAACTGGCACAAAATATAAAAACCCTTAAGGGGCAGTGGGAGAGCTTAATGCTTTTTGTTTATTATCTGGAAAAACTGGCAAAAAATAAAAAAAATTATAAATCAGCCAAATATCTTCTGGGTTCTGCTCCATCAGTCATCATAAACATGCATCAGCTGGATTAGGAGTGTTAAATCTGCAGACTAACCTTCTTCAGCATCTTATTCTGTTTATGGAAGAACTCCACTTTGATGTCTCCGCAGACTGGCAGCGGCTGGGGGAACTCAAAAATCATGTGCTTGTCCTCGCGCCGCGTGTGCGCTGGGTTTGATGTGTGAATCTTGACTTTGAGTTGGTAGACCACAAACTGTGGATCTGCAACAGGGATGGGGCGGGGTGAGATCGGGTGTGAGATTCATGAAGAGGGTGGAGAGAGAGTCGGGGGAGCAGGACAGGATATTAGTTATTACAGGAGCTGGACGAAAACACAGCACACCACCACCTCCCCCAACTCGACAAGTAAAAACCAAGTAGAACACAGAACGTTACAGAAACAAAGACCCAGAACCAGAGAAGTAGGACCCTATTCTGGTTGACAGGAAACTTTGGTTTTGCACCAACGCAACAGCCTGCAGCACCTAGACTAACCCTGGCTTTCCACTGGCCGTGAAAACGGTGTGAAACAAAAAAAAGGTGTTTTACCCGCGAGCTCCCTTCCAACCGGGAGCGATTCTGCCACAAAGCGGGAGCTAAAAAGTGTTCCATATCACCGGTCCCGCAAAGTCACAGAATATCAACACCACGCATGATTTCTAGGGATGGACAATACATCGGCATCAATATTAGTATCGGTCAATATTAGTCATTTTTTAACATATCTGTAAATAAAACCGGGCCGATATTAACAACTGATATTTTTCCATCTCGACTCCATTTGTTTATCTGTTTCAGAGAACGAGGGGGGTGATGTGTAATTGTTAAATCATGTGACAGTGATTGTAATCCTCTCAGAAGCACAAATGTGTGTGGTGTGTGTACATAATGTAAATTCAGCTTGAATCATTTTTATTCAAACAAATTTGCTGATTTTAGAAGCATTAATGACAGTTTATCGGTTATTGGCCATAACAGTGATCTTAATGTCAGAAATCGGTATCAGACCAAACATTTCATATCGGTGCATCACTAGTAATTTAATTAATCCACACAATAACAAACAAGCAGAAAGAGGTTTGTGGTTTATGTTCTGTTCCGTTTACCTTTGCTACAGCGGCTTCACAGCAAATCCGCAAGTGACTCATTTGGAAAGTTTCCAAATGTTTAACACTGCTTTCATGTTTGACTTCCTGACTGGCCCAATCTAAACTGTGGAGTTCGATGTGTTTTGGAAGCGTAGCGCGTAAAAAATGAACTGAAAACATAACGATGGCGATCCTTTGCTTCTGGGACAGGTCCAACACGTAACGGCGGCTAACTGCAGCGAAGTACGTTTTTAACGCTTTCACATCCGGACCGGTGGAAAGCTGGGGTTTATGTACCCTCCCGTTTTCCGGTCAGGGTGGGATGTGGTGCTTCCTATCCTCACCGATCTACCTTTAACAGCTCCCGCCTGGTGGAGCTCCGGGCCCGTATCAAAGCAAATGAAATAATAAATGGATGAAAGACTCATTTACCCCAATGCCAATTCCCTTTCTTGAAGCCCTGAGGGGTCGGCTCGCTCCTGTTTTTAACGGTACTGTCCCCTTAGAGAGAGAGAAGGAAATTATCACAAGGAAGGCCTGGCTGGCCTGGCGGGGGCGCCATGGCACAGCAGGCAGAAACAAGATATTTACATCTACATCCTCATCAATAAACAGCGTGTATTTACAGACGGGGTTACATCTTCTGATAAGGCTTTATGAGATACTAAAAAACACATTAAATCCATTTGCTGTAAAAAAAAATTAATGATCTAAACAATTCTCCTTTTCTTTTGCCCTGAGCTAAACTCTGGAAGAACAAAAAAAAACGAAGATGTCAAACTCAGAATAGGGCTGTGGTTTAATATTTTAAGAGTTAGCAGGAAGGAGAAGGATCAATACAGTCAGGGCCTTCGAGCACATTCTGGTGTTAAGGTGAGAAAAGCCACAGATGTGAAATAGAAGAGGAAGAGAATCTTTTTTTGACCAAAAGAGTCAAAACAGACAAATATAGACAGGAAAAAGGAGTGAAACATTGCGTGAGTCACGTGTTGAAGCAGATATACACAACTGTTTGATGTTTCTTCCTCTTCAGGCCAAAACAGAGCAGCATTAAACCACAACGGCAGCCGAATAATACACAGAAAACACGTGTGCTGGAAGGACAGAGGATCTGGGTGAGTGGGACGGGTCACGTATGGAATCGGGCCAAACCCAGGGACAGAAACTCTTAAATCCCCAGAGCGCTTTTGTATGCAAAAAAAAAAAAAAAAAAAAAATCACTGATCAAGACGTTTAATTCCTCTTTTGACTTTTACTGACTTCCTGGTAAGATCAAATAAAGAGACACTTGAGATGTAAACACTCTAAACACTCCTCTCTGGCCAGAACGTGGCAGTGAGATGTATTTATTAACGTAAACCCCCTCACTGAAACATCACCAGGTGTTAAGGAGGACCTAATCGACAAGGCCATTCTAGACAAGAGGCCGAGAATAAGGAAGTTAAATTCGAGTTTTAGATCACGGGTTGCACCACCGATGACCTCATCTGCTCTGCGGTGCTGAAGCAGAGCACGGGGGGAGCGCCACACATCCAGAATCTACCTTTTCCTTCCAGCAGCTGAAGCAGGCATGGGTTTGAACATTAAAATGTGACTCACTGCAGTTGCCCCCGCTGAACATGGGGAGAGTTTCAAACACCATTTTGTGGAATAGCAACGCCACCGGCTTGTAGTCCAGCCCGTGCTTCAGTAGGTGGTTGTAATAGTAGACGTAGCGACGCTGGCTTGGGATCGTGACTCCCTTTAACAGAAAACATTTAAATTAGTTCTAAACATCAGTGGCGTGTCTAGGTTTTTTTGGGAGAGGCCAGGTAGGGGAACACATTTGGACAAGGGTGGCACATGTAAACAGCTCATAACTCAAACAAAATAACAAATAAAAAAAATAAATGGATATATATATATATATTTTTTTTTTACAAAATTACAAAACGATCTGTTTAATTGGCTACTATAAACCAAAATTAAGTCTAAGCATAATACCAATGGTGTACTTTTATCAATGAGTATGGGATTTTTTCCATGCATACATTCATTATATAATAAAATTGGATTTCTGACATTGTAAGGTCAGGATTGTTATAGAAATGAGAGGAGGGCACACTTTGGCCGAAGTAGATGTCCTTGCCAGGTTTAGCATTTTAACTTCTTGTTAATTAGCAACAGAAATAGGTGAGCTTTGGAACCCAACATCCATGAAATGGCATCAAAATCAACAATTAATTAAATATCTGGCCTGGTTTGTTGTTTAGGTTCAACCCAGTAGTCTCATTAATCTGATTTTCAGAAATGTTCTGGAGCATGAACCAAGCTCAGTTTAATGCTAAAAATACTATTAACAGTCAAAAAAATAAATGCCATCTTCCATTTGATATTTTATTGTTTATGTTTTAGATTTTATGTTTTTATAGATTATAAGTTCCATATGTTTTACTGTCTTTGTTTTGGGCCGTGCCCCCCAAGGCCCACCCTCTGGACATGCCCCTGCAAAGCATGTATAAAGAACTATTTCCTTTGCAAATGTGTCTTTTTGGCAAACGTTAAGCTCACCTTCTTGTCCCTTGTCCTGACTTCGCCGTAGAAGTCCAGCGCGTCCTGGGCCTTGGTGAACTTGCGTCGATGGAGGAGATAAGCGCAGATCATCACTCCGGTGCGGCCCTTCCCCGCTTTACAGTGGATAGCCGCCACGTGATTGTCGTCCTCGCTGAGCCACTGGTCCAGGTCTTCACAAAACGGCTTAATCAGCTCCAGCTGAGGGGGGTTGTGGTCTTCAAAGGGGTACTGTGCAACTGAAGCGTGTTAGGATGAAGACCCACGCACAGTTGTAAAAGAAAAAGATGAAAATAATGTGGAGAACACATCGTAAACAAGTCAGTGATGAAACGATGGGGACAGTAAATAACTTGCTGTTTTTAAACTGAGTGTCACCGGGCTTTTATTTTCTAGAGTGATGACAGCCTACCTCTGCAGTTAAATTTGGCAGCATCGTAGTGTCTTTCTGCGCAGCTGAAATGGGAAGAACAGTTAGCCATCATGCAAAGGGAAGTTAGTGAGCAAACACAAGGCAGATTAGAACGTGGAACACTTACAGGTTGTATATTTTGTAATGGTTTTTATGCTTTGAATCCAAAAACCTGCAAACAAGAAAAAAAAAAATTCAGATTTGATCATTTACCAAATATTCTTTCATGTCTCTCTTTTGGGAGGGGGTGCCACTCACCGTACTACATCATCTATATTGTTTCTGTACACGCCTTCCAGCCTCTCCGCTGGAAAGCCCATAGCAATGATGTTTGGGTAGATGTCTGTTCAGCCAGGGGTCAAGGAAATGCATGGAGGCACAAATCATACACTTAACTGTGTTTGCATATCGGCTGTGATAAAAATACAGCATGTGTGAGTGTGTGTGGCCTTGCTGCTAAAGAGGACAGGAGTAACAGCCCTCCTGCTCCAGCCAGGCCCACGTGTGTGCACGTGGAGTCTCCGCTCCGTGACCTGCAGATATTTTTAGAGCCTAAAAGTTATATTGGGAAGACTGCAAATGTTTGGCTTATCTCTTAGGAGCCCAGTCAGACTCATTTGAATATCTGGGAGATTAAAGGCCATCATGATGTCTCTGAGGCAAAAAAAAAAAAAAGGTTTAACAAAGAAAAGGCTTTGTGTTAAAGAGTGCCAGGTCACCACCCTGAGAGACCACACTTGTGCTTGTTCCTGCTACGCCTAGTCTACCTGTGCAAGAAAAAAAACCTACAATGTGACAAATAAAAATCTTAAAAAGGTGCACATCAGTGTCATCTAGAAGTGTGTGTGTGTGTGTATAAATCAGTTGACACGCACATCTGCAGGCCCGGCTGCAACGCCTACCTGCAACTGAAGCCATAAGCTGTAGGATCTCACACCTTTGAACACAGACTTAAGGGCAACCTTCTCATACACTTCCTGTGCCACACAGTCAAATATAGAAAAGCTGAATATTTATGATTGGATGAGACCGATTTTTATCTAGCCAAGCTTTTATTTCCCTTCCCATCGAGTCAAATCACTACTTAACTGGTCAGAGAAATTTCACAGAGGCATTTGACAGCTCTGGCAAGAAAAGCTGCTTCTATCCCTCAGATAAGGGGTCTGTACATGCATAAAACACAAGGACACCCCCCTCACCTTTTTTACATGGTACACACTCAGCTCATTACTTGAGTAGAAGACCTGCAGAGTTTAGAGAAAGTCCATGAAGTTGGTGGTGGAAAGCCACCTCAAACATGATTAAAGCCATTTTAACCCATTTAGCTGAAAACCAAATCATTCCTCTGCAGCTGACCTACATCACTAAATGCAGCTGAATGGGAGTAAATTACACAGCCTTGATAGCTAGACACACTTAAAGATGTCTTTGTATTATGTGTCATCACCCTGTAAATTGCTGCCTCAAAAGAACTAATTAAGGGGAAAGTTCAAGATTTTGAACATAGCAAGGGGCCCTTAAAGAGACTCTCCACTCATACTATAATACATTTGCGGTGGTCTCTAGTGGGAATGAATGACATATTAGTCGTACTCTGGGGAGAAAAAGCTTCGGTGTGCCCGTTTCAGCACAGACAATTCAGCTGGATGAGAAAGCTTCAGAAGACAGATTTTGGAGTCTTATTTCCTGATTTTCAGACGTCTTGCCTCTGATTGGCTAACAGCTGTGCAACTCCACTGACTCCGTTTGCTCTGCAACATGGATGTTTTATCTCAACAAACAAGCTTGAAGGAGTTCTGCTGTGTGGTGGAGCTGCTAATGCTACCAGTTAGCTTCTACAAGCCAAGACATTCTCTGCCGTTTCCTAAACCAACAGCGATTGGGAGTCAAGGTTGGTGAATGTTAAGTGACGATGTATGGGTGGTGGGTGATATGGAAACAAATGATTTCACATTTTGTTTTTGCAAAATAACAAGATTTTATCACGACTTTTTCCATTTCAATAATTCAGGCCACTAAATAACAAATTTAAACGCATACATCTTCACAGAAAATAAGAAAAGCTTTCAGAATCCTAAAAAAAAATCTTAAAATTCCAATATCTGTCTAATCACAGTTGAGAGATAGAGATGCATGTCTCAAATCTCGCACAGGCACTTATATGTATTATATATTTATAACTAACAAATTCTAAAGGTGGCTCACATCCTGTCATCCATAAAATTACCAGTAATTATTTCTTGTCCAGAGGAAAAAAAATCTATCATCATAGCTAAATTCATAATGCATCTTTATCTCATGCATCCTCTAGTCAGTCATTTCACTCCCACTATTTGGGCCCCACAGCTCTCCGTAGATGTGCCCCGACTACGTGGGGGAGGGGTTTGGCATAAACAAAGCTCCGGTCTGCAGCCACGGAGAAAAAGCTCGCTAAAACACAAACAAACTTCCCCAAATAAAAGCCACGAAGCCAAATGCAAAGTTTGGAACAGAACATTGACCCAGAGGTTTCCTGATCGCGTGAGAATTAGTGATGCACCAATATAAAATGGTGGGGCTGTTGTTGCCGATAACCGATATTTGCCGATACCGATATACCGACATCAATGCTTCTTAAATCAGAAGATTTTGTATAGAATGAAAATTATTAAAACTGAATTTACGTTATGTACACACACATTTGCGCTTCTGAGAAGAGTACAATCACTGTCACATGACTAAACAGATACACATCACCCCCTCGCCCTCTTAAACAGATAAACGGAAACAAGATGGAAAAAATATTGGTTGTTAATATCAGCCCAGTTTCATTTATTGGATCGATACTGATAGGTTAAACAGTGACTAACATCGGCCGATACAGATATATCGTGCATCCCTAGTGAGAATACATGTAATGGCCACTAAGACGGAACAAGCAAGTGACCAATGCTAGCGGCTAGCCGCTATAACCAAGTATGGTGTGTTTCTTCAAAGATTCATAATTGCGTATGTCCGCATCTTAGTGCATCGATTATTAGATTATTTTCCTCAGCTATCAAGCACCCCAGCTTAACAACCAACACGCTGCCTTAAACTTGCTCTGATTGGTTCATTAGTGGTTCATTAGTGTTTATGTCGTACTGAAAGAAGAAGACTAGCAAATAGTGTGACTTGAGAAAAAAATGTGTGCCCGTAGACCCGTCCAGAAATGATGGCACTTGTGACAGAACGCAAATCGACACCGAGCTTTGGTAGATCGTCATCGCTTTATAATCCTCAACGATCTTATATCGTCAGATCGCATTGCCCTATGACAGTATGACGCAGATGTGACGTGAGTTTCAAATACTAGTGTTTCATCATCTATTTTCTATCAGAAGCTAATGAAGGAATTAGGTAGTTTTTGCAGCTGGGAAGACATGGAGGGAGGGGGGATCAAAATGTGCTGCTTGCATGCCTTTTCTTTACAGCCAGCCTTGTCGTAGCTTTATGCATACACCAAATTCACTACTTCAAGCAAAGAGGAGAGGAGGAGTAGAGTGCTAGAATCAGTAAACGCAAGGCGAGGAGGTGGGGAGGACAGGAAAGGAGGAGAGCACAGGAAGGGGGGGTAGTTAGGAAAACAGCAAAAGGAGAGGTGGTGGGTTGAGAGAGGGTAAGAGAAGGAGAGAGCATCCAGATACCAGATCACTGGCAACTCTATTTTAAGGGCAATTCCCAGAACCATGATACATTACATAACTGCAGAGCCCATATTGTTTTTAGACAGAGCCAGAAATGATAAAACAGGGTCATTACAAAGGGAAAAAAAGGACCCACATCAAATTTAAAGCGTCGCTTTGGAGTGGAGTGATCCCCTTAACACCTGCGAATGTGTGTAGAAGTGCACCACAGAGCCCTGCCACACACACACACACACACACACACACACACACACACACACACACACACACACACCCATCACATTATAAAACCATGTGAGAAACATCTGATCCACCACTGTGATGTAGTCATGCACATGCATAAGGGGATGTTTCCACATATAGCGTTGAAATTGAATTAAAAGTAATCAACTTTATGGGCCTTTTCTTAAACGCCCACATGCGTTCCCTTCTCAAGTTAAATTAATTCAGATCCATAAAAACATAAATCTTAAATAGTGTTTTGTTGACTCCTACATGAAGGTGGTTTTATCACCGTCAGAATTGTCAAACAGATATCCAAGACTACTACTCCTTAAAGTTGCATGTTTCACATACCATTACTGTGAAGATAAACTAATCATAATCGATAAACTGGATCATAAATAGAAGGGAAAAAAAAGCATTTAAGTAATAATTATCTCACCTACTATCCCACCCTCTATAGCAAGTGCACTTGTAGCGTTAAACCCCCAGCAAGCTCTTTTGACGTCAGATATGGAGGCCACATCCACCCTAGCTTTAACCATGACCTGCTCACAGCACTGTCACACATTAAATTATGCATTTCGTTGGCCCTGGTAGACCACATTAGCTGCAGATCTAGTTTATCACCAGCGAAATAAGCAAGCCTCTCATCTCTAGTAGCAAGCAGAATCAGGTCAACTATAATTATTTTGTAATTCAATAGTGTTGCAGTGATCTGGGATGGAAAACCTTAAATTTAGCAACACCAATTTAATACATAAATGGCAAACTACGTAGATGTGTTGCAATATTTTCATTTTAAGCTTGAAATGATTCAGTCTTTAGATTTCTTGCACAAATATGACAATAATTAATAAATTAACCCCTAGTTCAGTATATTTAATATATTTTTAAGAAGATCTGCAACATGTTTTAAAAAAAATTATATTGCAATTAATGTTGCAACCTAAAGTTAATCCACCGCTTGAAAAAAAAAATGGTGTGCCCGTTTAATGCCCGTATGCTGGTTAAAATGCACGCGCTAGCGTTCAGCTAGCAGGGGTTTCCAACTTTAATCTGCCTGTGACATTTGTGCCCGCAGCTTTGACAGATCCACCATCTTTCAAACATGCTAGTTGACAGCAAAGCTGCTCTGTGTGACCATCCAACAAGAAAATCAACCAACCTCACGCCATAGCACAGACATTTCTGGATCCAGCTCAGCTGTAGTGATCAAAAAATCGTTGGCATGCCCCTGAATTTTTTTTAAAAAGCTGTAAAAAAAGATAGAACACAAGGAAGGATACATGTTAAGTCCAGGTCGAATCCATCCTCCTGGTATCTCCTTTTGTTCCGACTAACGATTAATTTTATTTTCGCAGTCATTGTGGCCATATGGGATAAAAACGCAAAAGAAATGTTTATCTGGTAATGGTCGTCGGACTTCTGCAGATCCCTCGTAGATAAGGAGCTAGCCCCGCAGAGCTAGCAGTGGCAGTCGGTAGATGTAGGATTAGAAAAGGCTTTCTCTGGATCATAAAGACGGGCCTCGCTCTGCTCCTCCTCCGCGTAGGCCCGACTTTCCCGATCCTGAAATTCGTTTAGCAAAAAAACTCCTCCAAATAAGATACATGCAGCTACCGTCCGAGAAGCTTTAAGGTACCAGACGAAGCGACGACTTCAGTCACAGCTGCCGCAATTGACAGCCAGGGGTTAGTTAGTGAGAACTCACCGGCTCTCAAAACCCAGTCACTAATAAGACGTAGCATTAGCCGTGCTAGCCTCCTTTTTCGACCCAAAAACCTCCTAGCGATTCAACATTGTCGTCGACTGATTGCCAAGAACACATTTGGAAAAAAAAAAGAGAAAAAAGTGACAGACTCCACCTAGGATGTATATAGATTATACAAAAATCAAAGATCTACACGGGCTGGTTTGACAGTTACGTCCCGGGGAATCATCTTCTTATTCTAGGTCCAGCTGAACTCTCAGGCTCCCGTCATGGCCTCCAACCGAAGGAAAAAAAGAAGCTAGAGCAGGCTTGGATTTTACAACGCATATCCTTCCGCTTTGGCTGTATATAGTCCACATGGTTAATCACAATAAATTAGCTCCAGTTGACTACTATTCACTATATTATTAATTAAATGCGTTCAAAACTAATATTTAATATTTATAATTAGTTTACACCCAGAATATATCTTGTTTATATGTGCTTGTAGCGGAAGGATCAAGATTGTCGGCATTCAACGGCGGCTCCCTCCTGTCAAAGTGGTCACGTGGGGCTGTAATTAGGGAAGTTTCCAACCTAATGTCATTTTTCGAGGTTTTAACTGTCATTTTAGAATGTAGAACAGCTTTTCTTAAACCTTTTTCAGACCTGAGGCCCACATTTAAGCTGATGAACATCTAAAACGTTCTTATCAAGCCAGTTAAAACAAAAACATAATGTACTTCAACATCTGTAAACCTATTTTTATTCCTTTTTTAATCCTGTTTCATTCCCTGTGAAAATAATGGAACAAATATTGAATTAGCAATCAATAAACATTTTGGGAACTCAAAGCTGTGAAACATTTGCTATTGTAGTCACACTTTTAAATTATGCAAGCAGTTTTTATGAGTATGACTTCCTTTTTGACAAGTACTCAAAGTAATCAGACTCAGAACAAAATGCGAAGCTTCAGGTTAAGCCAATTATTTTACACCCACACATTCTAGTATGCAATCTAACGATAAGCATTGTGAAAGACTCATTCATTTTCATGTAATTCACACATAAAGAGCACATATGTGTATCAGTGTACGTCTACAGGTCCTTTAGTGCAAAAAAGAGCTCTAACTCAAATGATAAAACTCCAATTTCTATATTATTTTATTAATGTATTAACCCTCTCAAGCTCAAAATAAGTTTTGATAAAAGGACGAACAACTAAGTCCTTCAGGGGTACTTCTGAGTTAAAAAAATGCTCATGAAATACGTATATGTGGAGTAACCAGGTAGGTTTCAACTGTTGCAAGTCTGCAACGCCTGCCTCCAGAGGGTTAAAACATGGCTCATTTTTAACAGAGAAAGCAGCGAAAAGTGCCATAAGACACCGAAGCTCCCCTAAAGTTTATTAAAAAATGTATCAGTGATGAAAAATATTTCATATTTTTACTGCAACTTTAAAATTATATATTCAGAATTTACTCAATAATGAAATTGGCAGTTTTGAAAATGCATTTGATCTGACTCAAGATACTTATTGATCTAATGATGCCATCCAAAAGATCTCTCGCCATGTTCCTCTGGGAATAAACATCTTATAAAAACACATCATTTTTAGTAAAGTTAAAGAAACATTCAGTCTCAACTCAAAGGAGGTTGTTGGACTGGAGGTGAATCACGTAGTCTTCAGGGATCCATCGAATATGTCCATGATATTCATCAACAACCCCACCTGCGTTCATGTCTGGTTAAAAGGAATATACTTTATTTAAAACCCTTAAGTGACCAAAAGAAATAAAATCTATGCATTTTTAATTAATGTGTGAACGTAATCCAGCACGTTTCAAAGATTTCTTGTACCTGATTAAATTATTACTTTAAATTAGGTGCGTTGAAGCAGAAAAAAACATCTAAGCATGCAAGACGTGTCCTCATGGACCGGCATTGGACATCAATGATGTATTAGTAATAATAAGACGGTAATATTATCATAATAATCTACAGGTTAAGTCAAACATTCACACATTTTGCATGTTTTTTAGTTTATTAGTTATTTTCCAGTTCAGTGCATGTTGGTAGAATTGTGTTCTACAAACTAGTTCACAAGAAAATCAAAGCTCAACTTATATAATTTTACATTAAAGTAATCACAATTGACATGCATGAATTTATTAACAAGATATTCTGATTAAAAGTGTTTATTTAATCTCTGAGCACCGCAGTAAAAAGGGGACACGCGTCCCTCTGAGCATGAAACTTGAACGTTTTATGTTTGTGAGAGCAAATATATCGGCGACATGTTTGAATACAGTACTTGGAGATTTTGTAAAGCACTGAGGATGCAGTTCAGCACATTACCTGGAACAGGTAAAAGAGGTTACCTGGAACATTGCAGATTAATGATCTGATCCTGTATGAGGCTAATAGGAATCTGCTTCTCACAGAGGGGCTGGCTTTTCTCACAGAGGAACAGTCAGCTCGTAGAAATGAGATCAACCAACAGCTTAATGAAAGGCAAAATTAATCCAAGTTCACTTAATTATCTTTGCCTTAGAGTTTTAAAGTTTCTCCATTTCTTGTGTTAAAAATCTGGAAAAAAGACAAGATTTTTAACCACACGTACAAAAATCGATGCATTATTATAAATATTTTTACAAATTCTGATTATTTAGGGTTAATCAAAAAAGCACAATTTTCTTTGGTGGTTTTAGAGATGGAGGATGACAAGTGCATTTATATTGTTTCAAATCGTTTCAAGTGAAACCAAATTTGTTTCTTTTAAGTTTCTCTGTACCACACCTCCCCACCAGGTGGCAGCATTGCACCTTTGATTTTGCTGCCCTCAAATGCCCTGCACACACAAAGAACGACTCTTACCTCTTACAGTCTGAGTCGACCTTTACTCTAAAACTAATTGTGTGGACTTTGGGTCAGTGATGGTTTGCACAACCAGTAGCACAAATCAAGCTGCCGCCGATGATTCAGAGCAGCAAATGATTTCTTTTATTACTGAGTTGCACTCGCCGTCTCACTAAAACTGCATTGCATGAATACAACCGGCCTACTTCACGATGCCACGCGAACCTCTTCCTCTTCAAAGAAAAACAACAAATTCAGTTTCAGAATTACACGTAACAGGAAGGCACTTTCACATTATAAAGTCATCCATACATACGGGAAATGTCAGCATGCAGTGACAAAACTATAACTTTCACTCGGGTCATACAAATGGCTGAACAGACAGTGACATATTCCATCTTTCAGTTCTTTTTAAAACACAGAAAAGGTTTAATCACCTGCAACGTTTCGTTTGCCGCAAGCCGCAAACGAAACGTTGCAGGTGATTAAACCTTTTAAAAAGAACTGAAAGATGGAATTTGAAACTAAACACAGCAGGAACACACCAAAGACAGTGACATATGCATTCAGTATAAATGATATCAATCTTTTATCTATACATGTTTTCATCGTGTTCCAATTGAATATCACATTATTATATATATATAAAAGGATTTCCCTCTCTTGGGATACTTCTACATGTATAAACAGAATAATAAAGAATCTCAAGTGAGCTTTAATTTAATAAAAATACATTACTTAAGTTAATTTGCTGCTTAAAAGATAATGATTTATAAAAGTTGTTTTATAGGAGTGTTAAAAAGTTTTCATGTCTTTCACAAACCCTTACCCTGTCAGAAACCATCGATCTATTTAAAAGTACTTCAGAAGGAAAACATTGATAGATTTGGGCCCTTTAAGAACCATCTTGTCGATAACCTGTCAACCAGTGAGCTGAACATTGATTAGTTGATCTTCTGAATAGAGGAGTAGTACTCCACCAACACTTTCCAGGCCTTTGGGGCCATGAAACCATCGGGAGGGTTCTCCCCACTCCGAGCCAAGTTCCTCATCTTGGTTCCAGAGATGAACTCAAAATCAGCATGACTGAGAGATGACAGCATGAGGTGGGGAAAAACAGCATGTTAGAAGTCAGAATGGATTAGATTAGAAGTACCCAACAGTAACTGGGAATATTAGCAGAAATCTGAGTGATGTTCATTTAAAGCTGCTATAGCGAATCTACAGAACAAGCTAGGTTTTGAATGCAGTCACGGAACATTCACTCCGCTCGTCGGGTATCTTCCCTGAGACGGACTTGGAAACCCTCATTGCCAGAGTAAATGAGATGGTGCTGAACACCAGTCGCTGTTTTCTAGGTCCAAATGTCTTTCGTTGTTCGTGACTGCAAATGGTGTTTTTCTTTTTGGGACGCTGGGACGTCCTAAAGTTGAAGTGGTAGCATCTGGCTGTTTCTCCTTCTCTGACATTATTGATCAAAGAATCTCTCACACCAGTGGTGTTCTGTTGCTAAATACACGAGTGCGTTATGAGTGGAGCAACCAGGGAAGTGCAGCGGTTTGGCGAGACTGACAACTGTTTCAGTCCAAAACGTGTTATTGGAGAAGGATTTTAGTGAAATGTGAGAGAACCAATTTATTCTTTTTTTCTCTCATTTTTTCCCCCTCCACAATATATTTAGGCAAGGCAGCTTCATTTATATAGCCCATTTCATACACTGAGGCAGATCGATGTGCTTACCAATTAGCAAGAATAGCGAGAACATTAAAATCAACATGACACCTCAATTAAAATACACACAAATTTCATTTAGATTTTAAAAGAAAAATGAAAAAGACAAAGCTAAAGGTGAGCTGTTACAGCGCATAAGAAACAGTCAGTCAAAGGCTGATGAAAACATGAAGGTTTTCAATTGTGATTTAGGCCCTGTCCACACGTAGCCGGGGATCTGCCAAAACGTAGATATTTTTCTACGTTTTGGCCTGTCATCCACACGAAAACGGAGTTTTTTTCACACGAAAACGGATCTTTTTAAAAACTCCGGCCAAAGTGAAGATCTGCGTTTTCTCCGTTTTGGGTGTCTGCGTGTGGACGGACAAAACCGGAGTTTTAAGGTCCGCAACGTCACTTTCCGTGACAAAAAATGCTGACATCACGTGTGCGACCTGTGTTTACACTAGCCGGCATCATGGAAGCCCTCAGAGCTGCGCTCTGTCACTACCCGATCCATCAATTGTCCAAGCGCTTTCTGCTTGTTTGTTTTTGCAAGCGGAATTACTGCTCCTTGCGGAAGACCACAGACGAAGGACGAGGTTAAGAACGGGGGAAGTACTGCCGCCTACAGGTCTGGCATGTCCTTAACAACGTATTTATCCGGGTACGTGTGGACAGAGTTTTTTTTTTTAAACGCGGTGGTTGTGGATGCAAGTTTTTGGAGGGGCAGATATTTGCTTTCAAAAAACCCCGGCTACGTGTGGACTAGGCCTTAAAAATTGTAGAGTTGGGGCACATTTGAGGTCATAAGGAAGCTGTTTCCATCTGTGAGCAGCATTGTAGCTAAAAGTAGCTTCATCCTGTTTGGTTCTGACCCGCGGTTCTACCAGCTGACTAATTCCTAAGGATCTCAGAGCGCTGCCAGACATTTATACAGAAAGGAGATCCGACATGTATTCTTGCCCCATGCCACTGATCGATTTATAAACTAGTAGAAGCACTTTGAAATCGATTTAGTAGTTTCCTGGTAACCAGTGTAGAGATTTAAGAACAGGAGTAACGTGCTCAGTTCTCTTGGTATTTATAGCCGTACTATGTTAGAACGAATGTTAAGAGGCATGAGAAAACGTTTTAAGCTAATTTGTTTGCTGTAGCAGCTTTAAACATAACATGTTTCTTTAACTAATAACTACAGTAAATGTTTCTTCACTCACCACTCTGGGCTGTAGAAGTCCATGGCCTTCTTACTTTTGTTGTAGGCAGCTACCCTGAAGGGGATGATCTCCACAGAGGTCAGGCCCGGGGCCATGGAGAGAACTTTAGCTCCATGGGTGGGTTCATACAAGTCCTGTTTGGTGTCAGGATGAGGCATGCCTGCTGGGTCTCGGCCAACGATGTAAAAGTTTGCTCCTGCAATCATTCTTGCTCTGCAGTGCCACTGAACCTGGAAAAGAGTTTGACTATTAGTCAGATGACGTTTCTCACATGGTGACCTCTAACTGAACCGTGACTCATTACCTCAGTTGGTCCAGCGTACATCATAGGAGATGGAAATATGGCAATGATAGTGCTGGCTCTCTCCAAAACACCCTCATCCAGGACAGCAGAATGCTGCTTCATCCTCCAGTCTAGAGGCACGTCGTCGTCCTTGGTCCAGCCGCCCAGCGGGTGAAGGAGGAGGACTGGATTTTTGTATCCACGCTCCAGCAGACGTCGCTTAGTGTCTTGCATGAGCAGGGCGTGACCGTTGTGAACAGGGTTACGCAGCTGGAACGCAAACACAGCATCTGGAATAAAGCACAAAGAAAGTTCACAGCAACAGTTTTAACGGTCGTATCCGACAGACACTGCTGAATGAGTTTTTTGGGTCTGGGAGTCTATTTTAAAGAGCAAGTCACTCCAAATCAATTTTTTTTGCTGATAAACTACAGAATATAAATGAGTGTCTAATTGTGCTGTAGAAAAATGTAGTCAACAGTTTGGCATTTTAGTGCATCTTAGTTAAAATTTAAATATTCTGCCTAAAACTGTCAGCGATGGGCTGTCGTCAGGCAAAAACTCAGCACTGCATTTGAATTGAAATCTGCCATCGCTATTGGCTAAGAGGTACACAAAGATGTTAGATGGTACATTATGATGTCACAATGTCATGAATGTGTGTATTTGTTAGCGGCTCCACCCTCTCGGTCTGCTAGGCAACAGCATTTGTTGCATTTTTCAAACAGGAAGTGGGAGTTGAGTAAGAATCTGGTCGTGGGTGACTTGCTCTTTAATAAATGTTGTAGCACACAGACTCCAATGGAGTAACTCTCGTTGAGTCTGATTAGAAATCAGGCACCACACCTGCTTGTGGTTAAGTTAGTTTTCTTACTGTCAACAAATCTTTGAAAAAGCAACAATCTAACAACTTGTGTGTGTGTGGCTTATCGATTCATGTCATAAAGCTTTACCTTTATAAAAAAGGATTCATGCTACCAAGAATTTGTATTCACCACAAAGAGCTTCTGATGTGTGTAGAAAACAGCAGCTCTTATTTTTGGTGTTAATGTGTTTGTGTATTAAGGAGTTTTAACAGAGATCAAATAAAACAGTAATCCAAGTGTAAACTCCATGCATGCGACTGCAAGAACACACATTAATAAAGATGCTAAACTTGCAAAGAGCACACATTAAACTGTTGTGAAAAAGGAAAACAACAATCTGGAGCACCCTCGTCAGCCATATGGATGTTTTTACAGTATGTCTTCACACATCATGCAGCGTTAACGTTACCATTTCACTTTTGTCATGATCCTTGTCAAGATTTTCTTTTTCTGAAAGACAAATGGTGATTTCTATTTACCCTGATTTAATTATTGTCCTTATTTTTAACTGATTTTCACAATCTGTTTTAAAATAAAAGACCCGCAACGTCAGTTTCTGACACAGCCAATAAAATATATATCTAAGTGGGCTGGTTTTTGATAACTATTGACTTTCAGGGCAAGGGTTTTTATAAATGCAGCTGCGTTTGCATCATTGACTGATGGAAACTCCGCAGTTTTAGCTGGAAAAGAATCTGCCTGCTAAAAGGAATGCCACTCGTCCGTTTTGATGTAAAAAAAAGCTTGAAATGATGATTACTTGGGGACGTGTCTATTTGCCCGGCAGGTAGCTGATGAGCCATCCGTGTTTGCCAACACCCCCCCCCCCCCGGCGCTCTGGGGAAGGCCTCAGCCTCACTTTCAAAGTGTCACAGCCTAGAAGGCAAAGGTTTTCTGGATAAAACTATTGAGTAGCACTTTGTTTGAAAAGCGCTCTATAAATAAATCTGATTGATTGAAAAGCACCCGTCAAACTCCATTAGCCTCAGTTAGCTCATAGCTATATCAGCTCAGAGTTTGATGGGTGCCATTCATTTGACCCCACTCTCAAGTTCATTTCTTTTTCCAGGAGTGACAAGACGCGTGATGCGGCCAAGATGGCAGTGGAGGCAGCCTCCCATCAGGCTTCAGTTTGGCTTTTCAGAAATCCACAGGTGATGGCACGAAGGCTTTTGTCCATCTTATACAGTCAATGGTTCTTGCATGCACTGAAGGTTTGAAAATGTTTTTAATGCCATTATCAAGTACTTAGGATTTCTTAATCTATGAAATAGTCATCCTGAGAATGAGCATGGGTTGTAATCAAAACAAAAATGTCATTTAATCTTCTGTACAGCTAACAAAGATGTAATTTAATCTTTTTGTCCAAATTATGTTTGCCACTCCTGTTGCCTGTTTAACATTTTCTAACCTGCTTCCATCTCTTTGAACCTCTGCTTGAGCTCGTTAGGAGTGAGGCGGTACTGGTCGAGTCCATCGTTCCATTTGATCCGCTCCAGAACTTCCAGGTCACCACCAACTAGCCAGTCACCTCCCTCCATCACCATCTGCACCACACAAGGGAACAATGAACATTAACATTTCTTAACATAATATAATTAAACCTAACTGATACTAGAGCAATATGCTAAAAGACAATACCTTGATGTAAGGGTGCTGTGGACAGGTGGTGCCCCACTGCCTGGCACAGCGCTCCTCTTTACGATGAGCGTAGAACTCTGGGTTTCTGAGGATAGCCACACGTGAACCCTGATACTCCAGAGCTACAGCTGCACAGCTGTCCAGCTTCTGCTTGGTCTCGGTGCTTACGGCCAACACGATGGGAATGGACATGTTGATGGACCCACCTGACATAGACCAACAGAACAAACCAGACATTATTACAGCCATTATTACACTACCATCATTGACTTAAATAGAGGTATGAAACTTAACAGTTATAAAATCTAAAATTTATAAACATATATGTACTACAAATGTGTCTGTTTTGGTTAGTCGTGTGTGTCTACATGCAGTCTGAATTAGTTACACATCATTTTCAACAGCTGGATACCCTCCAACAACCTCATTAATATCACTCCTGGGGCACTGGATAAATCTTCCCTGAACTGAAGCTAAACAACAAGTCATGTTTAGTTGCTAAGGAGAACTAGAGAATTTTTAGCCAATCAGCATCACTGCATTTATTGTCACCGAGGCACAGGCCACAGCGACCCTGCAACAGAAAACAGCTAGCTAACATGCTAGAAGATGCTGCATCTTCTTACCCCCACCCCCCACCCCATCCCTCACACACACTCACTGTTGATATAGATATAGCTGAAAACACACCTGTAGCTGTTGCAGTAAAATGTGTTAATTTGTTCTTATTTATGTGATTTTAATGTTAAAAACAGTTTATCTAATTTGATTTGTGTGTCGTCTTAATGCCCCAGACAAAAATAGACAAAGAGGAGAAATAATTTCAGCCAAAGCCCAACCAAGAATTTTCACCAGCCGCCACTGCAACAGTTACTACATTCAAAAGCTACTTGGTATTAGCCTGGATAGGGATTTTCACCAAAAAGGCCAGCTAATATTTAGAACACGTCAAACAGATACTGTCCTCACAGCTGTGGGGCAAAAAAGGTGCTGCTGGACAAACCTTCTGCACAGCTTTTACGGTGGGGCGTTAAATGCTTATTTGACCATAGGCTGATACGGACCCTCACTACACATGATAAACTGCTAAACACATTTTAAAAAAACCTCAATGTCCACTATAATTTCCTGATCAAATATACTGCTGCTCATTTGCTGGTGGGCAGGTTGGTGGATGTGTCACTTCCTGAAAGGTGTTAGGAATAATAAAGATGAAGGTGTGATTGTTTCTCACCATCTAGCAGGTTGCCAAAGTGAAGGACCTGCAGGAACTCTCTTTCTCTCATGAAGCCCTTCAGAGGACTGGCCCAGCCCTCGGCCAAAACCTGCACCCACTGAAGATCCAACTGGGGAAGGGGAATGTTAAATTATCAACTGCATAAAAAAATTAAACACTGAGGAAATGTATAGTACATTTTTTATTCAGACACATTCATTTAGCTATTATGAGGGGTACTACAGAAAGCAGATTATGTGAAAACTCTGAGTGAATTTTTTCCAGATTTTAGGAAAACTGGTGATTTCTATTTGAGAGAAAGATGTTAGTGAACCTCTTTAATTTGAGTTAATCGCTGTGGTAACAGGCTCTGTGAACTAAACCTGCTTGTTGGCAGGTTTACTTCAAGAAACCGAGCTCTTACTCTTCTTATCTAAACAATCTGAATGATAATGAACTCGTCATGTATCAGTGGAAAACTCCAGCTGCCAAAAGTGAAGCCGACGCCAAAGTGACAAGGCTGCAGTTCCCCCCTCATCCACTAGGGGCTGGCTCCAGTAAGGAGCAGTTCTGTTTTGCCTTGGCCCCCAAAATGCCTTGATTGTATCAAATGTATAAATATTACATGTGTATAACTTGTTTTATACAAGTAAAAACGTGTAGTGGAAATAAATCTACCTACATTTTACTTGTTTTTATTTAACTATTTCCTGTCCTGCCTGTCTCTCATCTTCCTGCATCTCCTCTAAACTCTCCAGGAAAACTGTTGCCTGGATTCTTACTTTTTCAACTCAGGAGTTACTTTTGAGCAGATCAAAGGGATCTCCTGACCGCAAAGTGGAGTGCGCGATTCGATGCTGCGTCAGTGAGGTGAAATCACCACAGCACAGGTGATGAGCTCCGCAGTAGCAGAGCGCTTCAGGCACAAAGACAGAAAATAGAGAACATGTGCAGACATGAACGATCGTGTGCTAATTATAGTTTTTTGGTTGCGCCACTTTGAGAATGGACCGTGCGCAGAACGCAGCAGCCTGGAGCGCTGCGCACCAATGATCAGAGCTCTGCCGCTCTCTGCTCAAAAGAGTCCAAAAATGATGTAATATAGGGAGAAACCTTTTTTCCGGCTCTCCCTGGATGTGTAGGATATACAGCTCCCCCATAATTCGATCCCTGCTCCTGGATGAAAAACCGGACGTTTTCATCAATACATGACCCCCCACCCCCACCCCCCACCCCCACCCCGGGCAATTGCCCAGTTGCCCATATGGTTAATCCGGCCTTGGCAATTAGGGGTGTTTTCTTTGATTGATAGGTAGTGATGAGCTGTCAACGTTAGCACTAGCGGCTTACCTCCCTGCTTGCTCGAGGGAAGGCCTCATGTTAAAAGTATTACAGCCGTTAGCTTTTGTTAGCTCCGGATTAGCTCAGTTAGCTTCTAGCTACATCGGCTCAGAATATGATGGGTGTCAATCATCTGGCCCCCCCTTAGTCCCCCCCCCTTTTTTTTGTATGTTCCAGGAGTGACGAGACAGGTGATACAGCTAAGATGACGGTGTTGGGAACAGTTTTTCAGAAACCTACCATCTTAAAAATCTACGATAACCTCAAATGGGAGAGAAATCCCTTCTTAGATTGGACTTTTTTATTCTCCTAATTTTTTATTGGAATAGTTTTCTTTTCACACATGTACTCAAATAAGAGGAAACTTAAATAAATAGTTGAAAATGTTTAAATTAAGAGAAATGCTTATGTAGTCAGCAAGATACGAGGTGAAAGTTTTAATAAACTGTAGAACATTTCTGTTGGGGCTTAATTAACTATGATGAAACAATTAGTAAAATAAAACTTTGAAGTACAGTAAAGCACTTTTTAACTCTGAATTATATTTATTATCTGTATCAATGTCTGCTTTTCAGTTGATGGATTATATCTGTATCTCTTAATAAATCCACAATTATTTTTAGACATTTATGCCACAAATATTGCAGATAGATTAACTGAATAATGCATTCAAATGTTCACACTTTAGCCTCTCTCCTCTTGGCTGCTGCGGTCATTTTTGTATGTATTTATTTTAACACACGCACACACACACACACACACACACACACACACACACACACACACACACACACACACACACACACACACACACACACACACACAAAGTCATACTCTTCACATACTTTAGGGAGGACCTTCTACTCCAGTCATAGAAGATCAGCTTAATTTATTGGGGTTCTTTATTGCAAGGAAAGACACACACAGGTGACTTAATTAGTTAAAATCAGTCATTCTGAGTGCAAAAACACTTTCCTGACTAATTCAACTCATAGTTCAGAGTTAGACCCAGAATCTTTTGAAGCATTTTTCTGGAATACCCCTCCCCCAGTGTTGGTGTGTTCAAGAACAGTCTTCACAAAAACCAGCAGGTTAAAGCACATAATATGGGAACAGGGGACTCTGAAAACAGCCATTTCCATACAGTACTTTGTGCATCACAGTCTGCCTCCTCTTCATGCTACACAGATGCTGCCCCACATCCCTCCTCCCCCATAATTCACGCTGCGAGAACACATCTCCGGCTGTGAAGTACATTTGTGAACACCAACTGTGGAAGAAGACTGAACATTCTCTTCGATGACACTAGTGTCCGCGTGTGAAAACAGTTCAGAGATCATGCATGTGCTGCACTTGTGAACTTTATTTCCAGTGTTTGACACAACAGTAGTAAAAAAATAAAAATAAAACGAGGTTACAACATGCAGCACTTCTCAGATCAGTCACAATGTGAAATGTTCATCCCGGCCGTTTAGATAAATCACTAAACAGTTTATTGAGGATCTCCACAAGTTTCCCTCCACCTCGTCCAGTTTGCTGCTTGACTAAAAGGAGGCCTATTTAGTGGAGCGATGAATTACCTTGGAGATGCTGATGGTGGGGAGCGTTTTGGCATCAGCCACAGCGAGATCAAGCTTGTTCTCAGGAACAAAGAGCTCATTCACCTCTTCCAGGATCTCGCACGGTACAATGCTCTACAGGGGAGACAGGCAGAGAGAAGGATTATCAGTTAATTCATTTTATAAGATTGATTATTATTGCTATTAGTGATCATTGGTAAGAAGTTTAGAACATTTAACTGAGCTTTTGGAATATAGCTGAGGCGATTTGGGAGGATGAATCATTACTTGTACACTGAAAAAACAGAAGTTCTGTTTGTTCAAGTTATATCCCTGACATGTAGTTTCTACATAACTGGATCAAGTTTGTAAGATGAACATAATTGACTTGTGTATTGACAACTTAAAAAGGTGCAATGTGGTTTGTACATGACTCCTTCTTGTTGGGATAACTTAAAGATTGTGTTCATGATTCAGTTCGCCGATTACTGGTTGGATGGAACAGATTTCCCAGCATGCCACATTTCTAAATGATGAAAATTAAAATAAATTAACTACAGTTTGAGTTTAATTGACATTTAAAGTATTATAAATAAAAAATAAACACAGGATAAATCAAATTAAATATGCTAAAAAACTGTTGTATATAACTCTTAAGCTGGCAGAGGGCAAAAACCCTGACTGAAAAGATAGTAGTACAGATAGGTTCAAAAAGCACCCTTCTAGTGGTTTCCAACTAGAATGACACCTATGGAAATCACAGGGACTACATGGTCTAGAGCAGTGGTTCAATCTTGGTCCTGGAGGGCCACCATCCAGCACATTTTAGTTGTTTCTCTGCTCAAACATACTTGATCCAGTGGTTGAATCGCCTGTGCAGCAGCTCATCAAGCTCTGAAGAAGCCTGTTAATTACCTGTTGATTGAAATCAGGTGTGTTGAAATAGTGTTAAAACTAAAAGGTGCCACATCCCAGGCCCCTGCTAGCCTAGAGACAGACAGGGGCACAGACACACTAAAAAAAGGAGAGAGTGCTAGCTGCAGAACCACAAAGACAGAGCCACACCAAAATGTGGAGCACTACATGAAAAAAGGGCTTTATTGAGGTTGCGAAAATGATATGAATATATTCTGTGTTAAATACATGTTATCAGAACATGATAATTTCATGTTCTTACAACATGCATTTACCATGAAATGGTCATGCTCTAATAACGTGTATTTATCATACTGGCATTATATATTAAAGTTATACAACCAAAACTTAATCTAATGCAACCAATGTACTTGATTCAATTACGAAAATCAAACAGACTTTTTTCTTTCAGTGGATGAGAAAAAGGACCTGTCATCTTCTATTTCCCTTTACCTTTTTTAAGGTTTGGTCTGTTTACAGCTGAACAACTGACATGACTCCAGACAGTGGGGAAAACTTGCAATAAAATAGTTGATGTCATTTTATTTCACATTATGTAGGTATTATCAGAAAGTTGTACTTTATTAGATCTCACACTATCATCTACAAATTCCATTTTCTTTTATATTTGAACTTTGGATTTTTTTTTACATGTCTTTAAACCTTTATTCCCTGTTTAATTTTGGAACAGTCTGTCCCTCTGCACTTTGTTCTCTCCTTTATTAATTAATTTATTTTTTTACACCTACTGAGATTTAATTGCCTACTTTTATCCTTTCATTTTGCATCCTGGTGCAAATACAAAGAAAGCCAAACCGTTCTTTTAAACTTAACTCTGTTTTGTATTACAAAAAGTTAACATGTAATTTTATACCCTCACTTTGATTAAAGTGACAATGTGTATTTTTCCTGATGACAGGGGGCAGTAGATACCTAAATCGTTGCAAGCAAGCAGTATTTTTGTGTTGGAGTAAGACCTTACCAACGGATGCTCATTAGGGTCAAAAAGCCCTTGGGAGTACAAACTTTAGCAAAATAACAAGCATATCAAACTCCCTTTCATCACTGGCAACAAAGTTTTGTAACCGTTTGTTACAAATCAATAAATGCATTTTGTCCTCACGGGCTCCCGTAGACGGAAACATGGCATCTAATATGGCGCTGCCCAAAAACTTAGACCCGCTCCCAAGTATTTTAGACCTGATTTTTATGGTTATATGTTACCAAGCCGCCAATATTTTTCAACAACTGGGCATCATTTCATTCATTTTCAACAATATTTTGATGGATACTTCGAGAAATTAATGGTAAAAACTACACATTGTCTCTTTAAGCTAACTGAAAACTTGGGATTGAGACATGACTGCTGGGAAAAGGAGGCATCAGATCATGCTGACCTTAAACGTGGAACTGAGATTACTGGTTTAGGAAAAGCGCCCAAAGCTGAGTATAGATTTCCTGAGGTCTCAGTTACCTTGCAGACTGAAACAGAACTGAGAAGCTAAACTTCTGTTACCATTTTTGGGTTAAATAAGTAAAAATGTAATCTTTCCACCCAAAAATTTTACACAAGAAAGTTTCCAATTTCACTTTATGATTTTTTTACTTACTTTTTATCAATAAACTTGCATAAAAATAAAAGAAAAAATTTGGTTAAACTTAATTCGGTTCAACTTAATTCTTTTGTTCTCAGTTTTTACCATCTTAACTCTACATAACACAATTTACAAACATGTCAGTCAGTGGTTTTCTTTTGTTTCCATAAGACTTCCACCCAAAGCTCTTTGGCTTCATAATTCTCTGCCACAACTGTGATAATGACCTCACAAGAACAGAAAAAAAAAGTTTATCATGTTGAGAATTAATGTGTGGCCACCCAGTTGTCTCACAGAAAAGAACATCAGGAATCTTCCATGTCTAACCTATCTCCTCAAATGCACCGTGTCTTTGTGTGTGTGTACGTTCGAATGTTCTTACACTCGTCAACAGTTGGCAGAACGAGAAGGTGTTGTAAAAATAGCATTTTTAGTTGTAAAAAAACACATTGAATGTTGTAAAATATACACAAGTCATATCAGTACCAATAGGGGGCCTAAGTTGTGCCCATCTACTTCTGCACCATGGGTCACCAGAAATAAGGAAAAATGAATGCAAGTCAGTGGAGCTATAAAAGCTGTTTTCTAATTCCGTTTGATATTTGCCATGGATTTCTCGTGTTATGTCCGTGAAATTTAAAGACACATTTTGATGCCAAGAAAGCGCTTATTTTCGAATGGGGTAAATGTTATTTTAGGTTTTGTGTGAAGAGACGTGTAGGACTACAAATGCGTCTGACCAAATTTACGTAATTGAACCAGACACGGAGAACAAAATAGCGTTTCTTCCAGTATGACAGATGGAACATTAAACGTGTAGAAAACCATTATAAATCTGGCCATGCGGTAAGTAGCAGCTACGCTGGGGGAGAAGAGTTTCTACGGTATGTATTTGACGTCTGATTTGGAGTGATTTTATTTACGAATTTTTACAATCTAACAAACCTGAAGTTACGTGACATAGTCGAAACACACGCCATTACTTTTAATTTAAATTGAAGTACAACATATGTGCGATTCAGAGCGTAAGGCCAAGCGGATTTGAAAAATAGCTTTTACAGCTCCACTCTCTTGAATTCATTTTTTTTTCTTTGTTCTGGAGACCCATAAGTCAAAGAGACATTATAGGCTCCCTATACCAGTAGAGCAATAAATAATTCACTTTTATTACACATTCTTGTGAAAATAACAATTATTTTTCATGCAGCAAAAACGTGGGACTATGTTTTTGCTGGTTGCTAATAAAATTTTACATGAAATTGCTGTTTTTATACTTTTATTTAGAAATGTTTTTCCACTCACACAGTGATGTTATGATAATGTTAGCCAAACCAGCTTGTGTCCTACTAAAAAAAGAGCTGCACCTTGAATTCAGTTGGCAGGCTCGTCACAGTTTGATGCTGACATATTCAGACTTCTCTGATTTGTGCTCTCAGGGGCAATCTTTATCTAAAGGTCTAATGGTCATCAAACACTCCTTTCAAGTAAATTGTTTTCAGAATAGGTCTGCTGGATTGACAGGGAAAATGTGCATTTTTACACTAACCATCTTTAATATTTGCTCTTTACCACTCAGCCAGAACACAGTAGTCCCTCCTTGGTCATATTGGAACATGCTTTAGTAGTTTGTTTAAACAGGGATGTACATTGTGTTTCAGCGTACTAATGGGTAATAGATGGTCCCTTAGTCACGTCCCACTTGAGAACCGTGTGCTTTAAAAGCAATGTTTGTTTTGTATTTCAAAAACCATCAATCACCACAGAAATGTAAACGGACACAGATGTAGGTCCGTGCGAGATCCAGAGATGAGTTGGCGTTTATTTTTATTTTTATTTTTTTTTACTTCAAATACAAGAGCACACTTGTGATAGCTGGCCACCCTGAAGTCCAGGATTCACATTCATCCCACCTACCTGCTCCCAGAGGAGCTCCAACACTTGGTGGATACATTCATTCACTGAAAGCTCTCCAGTTTTCAGGACGAGCTCTGGTGCCTCAGGGCGCTCGTACTCTGAGTCAATCCCAGTAAATCCTAGGAAAAAAGAACGACAACATTATAAACATGACAGTTGCCTTCTATTTGTAAAAAAACAAAACAAAACAAAAACGTTTAGGGTTTTATGTGTGGGAAAGCAGTTGAAACACTAGAATAAAGTTTGCAGACAGACCTTTAATCTCTCCAGCGCGGGCCTTCTTGTAGAGTCCCTTTACATCCCTGCTCTCACACACTTCGAGCGGTGCATGGATGAACACCTCCAAAAATTTCAGTCCGGCACTCTCGTGGATCTTCCTTGCCTCGTTACGATCCTGTGAAATACAGCGCCGTTACTTAGCTGCAAAATAATACTAATCACTTACCAAACACACTAGCCCATAATATCAATTATCTTTTCACCTTTGCAAATGGAGAGATGAAACTGGTGATGCAAACTAGACCCGCGTCGGCAAACAGCTTCGCAACTTCAGCGATACGTCGAATGTTCTCCTCGCGGTCTTTGTCGGAAAAGCCCAGATTCTTGTTCAGGCCGTGGCGAATGTTGTCCCCGTCCAGTGAGTAGCAGGGGATCCTGTGGGACACGAGGTACTCTTCCAGGGCAAAACTAATGGTGGTCTTCCCAGCTCCAGATAAACCTGGTGGATACCATAACTAAACTTAATAAATGATAATAATGATTAAAATAACAATGTGGGACTTCAGATGGTTGGGGCAGCAGTAGCTCAACAGGTTGAGCGGGTTGTCCAGTAATCGGAAGGTTGCAGGTTCGATCCCGACTCCGGACAGAGAATTCTGCTGTTGTGTCCTTGGGCAAGACACTTAACCCACCTTGCCTGCTGGTGGTGGTCGGAGGGACCGGTGGCGCCTGTGCTCGGCAGCCTCGCCTCTGTCAATGTGCCCCAGGGCAGCTGTGGCTACATCGTAGCTCATCCCCACCAGCGTGTGTGTGAATGTGTGTGTGAATGGATGAATGTTACACTGTAGTGTAAATCGCTTTGGAGTCCTTCCTCTGAGAGGCACTATACAAGTGCGGGTCATTTATCATTTACCTGTGAGCCAGATGGTGCAACCCCTGAAGCCTCCTCGGGTGCCCACGACCTGCCCTCTCTTACTCCGGCTGACGTGGTGGTCCTGGTATACTACATTAGTAGACCTAACAAGATCCTGGAAAAGAGAAGTTTACTTTTTACTGATGACAATCATATGTATAAACATGTCAAAGAACACAAAAACCTGGGCAGTAGCACAATTTGCACGTCCTGGAGAATAAAACACTAGCCAAGCAGTGGACAAATGAGGCTGTATGCTTCTAGACGGGAGGCTTTGGAAGAAACCGGACAATGTGTCCAATGTGCTGCCTGCTGCTGCCCAGTGATGATGTGGCATTTCCCACACATTCGCCCTCTACTACTTCCTTCTTCCCACCGTCCACAGGATTCCTACCAGTCCATCTCCAGCTCAGATAGTTTAACACACTCCACCCAACCCTATTTCTCATTCTCTGGATCACTCACCATCTCATATCCTGTGTTTAAAGAACCTCCTTTCACATACAAAAACAGCTTTTATTCTGAAAATCCATCCCTCTGACACACCACAGAACCCATCTGGCCTGTTTCAAGAAAGGATTTGATAAAGTTGCTTCGTAGAGTGCACAATGTTCCTGACTAGAGATAGTGAGCAATGGTCGGACGTGTGAAACGTGTGTGAGAAATGAAAACAATTTCATTAGAAAATATATTGTCTGTTTCTGAAACCAAGACTCTGTTTCTTAAGTTTAAATTCTTACAATGAAAAATAAAATTCCCATTTTTTAGTCGCAGTTACTGTTTACATTTGACCAAAATCATATCTGCTGATTCTGTTATTCTCTAAATCATCCTCTTGGTGTTCAAGGCTTTCTTTTTACTCTTTACTCATTCTTATACAGCTTAGCCCCATTCGTTGCCTTCATCCTCTCTTTCACAATATTACAAAAGATAACATCAGAAGGAAGCTATCTGCCAGCGTTCGTGAGAATTTCAGCGGCAGTTTCAGCAGAATAATGCTGACTGACTAGATTAACCAAGGGGGGGAAACACAAAATTGTACTGTAACATGATGGTAGAGTAAAATTCATACATATTATCATAAATGCAATAGTTTTATTTTGAAAAAAAAAATCTAAAACTTTCAGGTAGAAGGAAAAATGGGCAAACTTCCACACGTTTTTACCACTAAAATAATGACTGATGCAGAACAGAATGCAGTATGGGTCTCAGTACAAAGGTTTCCCAGCAGATGAAATGATGGATAAATGGTTTTGTACATGAATCAGTACAGTCTAAATGTGTGTACACCTAAAGATTTGGTATGTTCTGCAAGTTGGCAGCATTCCTGTGCACAGTGGCTTCTTTCTCCCCTCACAAGAACCCCTATGTTAGAAGTGGGCCAGGGGCAGACATCGGTATATGGTCATAACACAAGTGGTCCATTCAGAGACGAATCTGCTTCTTTCTGGAGTTAAAGAAAACCTAACTTTATGGCCACATCTGAAGGTTAGGGAGCCGGACTCCCAATCTGTGCTTCGCCTGTGCGAGGATCAGACCACAGCGGCGTAAAAGACCGCTGATAATGGACAGTTGTTATAAGCACGTCATAAAAACATATACCTTTTTTAAGTCGCTAAAACTTTGCTTTCTGAAGGCAATGAACATGACAAGCGGAGTTCCTCTCGCGATCTCCAGATGTACTCACCGTACGAAGCTTTTTCACTCCGGACATTTCTTTGCGGTAGCACCGACAGCTGGACACCGGGTACACACACTCACGCACACGCACGCAGTCCCGGTCGGAAGGAACTCCGCGAAGTTTTTACTGACTAACTTTTACGGTGAAATATTTAAAGCAAAGGAGGCGAGACGAAATTTAAAGCGGCTTTCAAGACACGTAGCTTTCAGCTGGCCCTTCCCTCGGCCCTCCTCCTCCTCTAACGTCGGAATAATTAGCATATTTAGCAGTCTGCCAGCCGTGGGAGTTGTTAGTGTTACCCTTGGAAACCAGTTCAGCTTTATGTTAGCCTCGTTTTCTCATTATTTTCCATCAGAATATGGTCAAATCTGTAAAAAATGCTCTGGTAAAATCACATATGTGACTCCTCAGACTAAAAAGTGTTTTATGGCCCCCGAGTCAGTCATATAAAAAGGTACGCAAGCTAGTCCTAGCTTTCCTATTTCATCCAGCTATAGCTGGATGAAATAGGAACAAATGCATAAAAAGTACCCCAAAAGTGTTATGTTGTGTGACCCTTCAGCCATGCCGTGATTTACTTTCAAATTTATAACACGTCATGTCTTTCATGCAAAAGTCAACTTGAAAATTGATTTCACATCAAGTCAGAGCACTTGGGATTGTATGGGGTGCTGATACTAAAATAACACAAAAAATTTGCAGCCATATTTTCACCACATTTTTGTTTTAAATAATAAAGCAACTAATATATATTTTAAAACAAATCTAAGCATAGCACAACTAATTGTTAAAATACAAATGTGGTATTGCTGGGTTTTATATGGCAAATGCCAGGGGCGGCGTTAGGCCCGGCTACTTGGGCTGAAGCCCCAGATGTTTCATTGAAAGCCCCGGATCTAAATCGCGGAAGTAACATGCAGTACCAAAGTCCAACATAGAGGGAGCAGCTGGCAGTAGTTTGTATACAGCCTGCCTGAGCCTCCACCACTGAAAAAGAAGCCCTTCAGCAGCCGGCTTCTTCTACACTATGCCTGAAACACATGAGTGAAGATGGACATAAGGACGTTTTTTAGACAAAAAGTACAACGACAGAACCCCAGCTTTGATGAGACTGGTGTTGACTCAGGTTTGTGAGTCTTATTTGAAAATATTTGTTGTGCTGCTGGTTTGCCTAAAGTTGGCTTATCAGGTAAAGTTGATGGAGAAAGAAAGGGAATATTTGCTATCATCTCACACTTAACACTAACAGGAACAATACTCTGCCCTGAAAATGCTTAATATGTAGCTTCAGATTAAAAATTATGTGGTACAAGACATGTATGATGTTGACTAGTGTGTGTCACGTGTGTGCGCGTGTGTGTGTGCGCGCGTGCGTGCGTGTGTGTGTTAAGCCCCGGATCTTCTTCAGTCCTAAATCCGCCCCTGGCAAATGCAGATAGGGTGCGGAAGTAGCCGGCGCTGCACAGAAACCTATTTACTTTGTTGACTGGGCGTTAAAATGCCCACATCCTGTGCAGTCTACGGTTATTACAATCACACTTATTGGGACAAAGACAAATGTTTTTTTCAAGTCCCGAATGTAGTGCGCCACATAGGACTTCATTAAAAATAAATAAAACGTTCTGAAAGAAGACGGTAGAAGTGGATCAGTATCTATGGCTAAGAACAGAAGCTGAAACAGTTTGCAGCGATCACTTTCTAATAGCCATGGGTTTACTACATTATATATATATATATATATATATATATATATATATATATATATATATATATATATATATATAACAGCAGGTTAACAGTATGATACTGTTTTCACGTGTCCTCACCACAAATAACTTTCAGAGTGCTAGTGTTTTTAGCAGTTAGCTTAGTGTTGTATCGTGACGTTTATATCTTATTAAAATCAAACAAATTTACCAGAAATTAGGATTTTAACAATACACTAAAAGTTAGTTACAAGTAGATCCTACCACATAATTATTGTTAGCATTAGCAATAGCATTCTTATCATGAACTAATACATTTAAATAGCACAACTCACTACTTATGGCAGCAAAAACAAGATGACGGTCATTTAAAACTTCTAAGAAAAAAAGTTCTTATAATAAAAAGGTTAAATGTTGTTAAACTGATAAATGATTGAACTACAAGTAAAGGAATATTCACTTGAAAAAGAGTTGATAAGAAGTGTAATTTCCCATTGCTTACTGTGTACATGAATGCATCACAGTTATAAATTCTTTTCCTGACGTACTCAGCAGAAAGATTCAATGAACACTGAAAAAAAGGTGCACACGGTAACTGTTAAAAATTAGGTTTTGTTTTGTTTAAGAAGGAAATAAAACTTTTTGTTTATTTCTTTACGCTGTGTTGTTGTACATTACAGTAATTTGAGACTGTTCAGGCTCTAAAAGAGAACTGTAAAATACAAGATCTGAGACAAATGGTCTTTATTTATAGTTTTTACGATATTGATTGAAGAAGAGAGGGATTAGAAAAAATAATACATGTTTAAAAGACACTCGATTCGTGGCCATTATTTTGTTGGACCTGTACATGTCCATATTCACGGGGAGCATTATATTGAGCACACATTTGAAGGCAGATTACATCACAGCAAAGAAACAAGGCTGTCCAAATTCCAAGCTGCATCCCTATTTTCCTGAAATTTCAGCAACGGGTCTGGTAGAATTCTTGCTAGCAAAGGCTATGGGCTGAATGGGAGATTTTTGTTCTTGTTATAATGACAGACAAAGCAGTAGAGGATTATGGTTTTAAATGTAGGTATATTAATGTTTGGTCATAAAAAAAAAGCTTAAAGTGGTTGTGTTAGGCATTTTTTTGTCCAAACTAATAAGACAAAAAAACCTTGTATGATGTTCTGCCCCAAAGTTTAGTTTTAACTTCTTTTTAGTGCCTCCGGCAACAGGACACATGGCGAGGTAGGAGTGTGAGTAAATATGAAGTCTCGACTGTCCAAATTCAAAAGCTGCTCACTTCTGGTCTTGGCAGTCGAGGACGGACCTGACCTTTGTGAATCAAGTAGGCCAGGTCCTAACAAAGATGCTACCCCTGAATTTGGACACAGCCAGTTTAGTGAAGATAGCCCCTATCCAATGTCTCCTTTGAGTTTAAGATTTAGGGAGTCTGTTTAGGATGTGGATATTCTTTATTTTACAGGAAAAAGCTAGCCTGGCCAGCCAAGTCAATGCTTTCTTAAGGGTAGCAAAGGGCCTGGTAACTCTCACATTCAAATAACCCCACCCCATGAAAGTTTTAACCGAGCCAATCAGCACTGAGCAGCATATGTCACACATGGTGACGCTCAGTTTCTCATAAAAAATGAAGATGGCGTCTGAAGTGGCGTTCGCTGTGGCAATTTGTTCTAAATGACTTGAACATATCTTTAAAACTACAACAAGAAGAAGTGCTCAAATAGCTGCACAGCTCAGTGGCGTAGTGGTAGAGCGTCTGCCCTGGGACTGGGAGATTGGATTTCAAATCCCGGTCGGGTCATATCAAACACTTTGGAAAAAAATGGGACCCGATGCCTCCTTGCTTGACACTCAGCATAGGTTAGATTGGAGGTTAAACCACCAAATAGTTTCTGAGCACGGCTGTGTCTGCTGCGCACCGCTCCCCTGGGGATGGGTCAAATTCGGAGAACAAATTTAACACACACCAGTGTGTATGACATCTAGTGGGACTTTAACTTTAAAGAAAGTTGTTTGCACCAATGCCTCGACTACAGCTAAAAAACTACAGCGTTGCGAACATTTCCACCTTTTTTCTGATTACCGGTAGTTATTTTGGAGCTGGCTAGTCCCGCCCCTCATGGTGCTCTCTGCCAATAAGCATCCAGACTCGTTCTCTGTGTAGAATAGATTTGGGTGAGTCTGGCAGGCCAGGCTAGGGAAAAGCCAGACAGGAATTCTGCTAAAAGGTCCACGGTTGAATGGTCTCACACAATCTTTACATTGCAACAAAATTGTGTACAACAACCAAATGATACCAAATAATCATTACAAATAAAAAATCTATTAAATTAAATCTAAATGCAAGTCAGAAATTTTTCATCACACACACATTTTTCAGTCTGTATAATTTACAGCTGTGTTGTGTCCCTTTTAGCTTGGTTTGTAGTCCTCAGTAGGATGAATGGGGGGTGTTTTACACGCCCAGAGGCCCATGGTTTGATGATCCATCAATGCACTAAGTTTAACTTTTGTCACAAAAGATTCATAGATAAGCTTTTGGCCTTGTGGTGAAGCCCTCAAACAAAGGTCTGTTAGGCAATCAAATGTTGGTAACTTATTCCTTTTGAGGACTTTTTACAATTTAATTAGCAGTTTTATTACCTGTAATTTAGATGTAAATCATTAAGATATTCTAAATACATTTAAAAAAAGGCTAATAAATTAAATTGTGAACCAATATGTTCATGGATTCATGCCACCTGGCCACCTTGACTACCAGAAATTAAGTTTTATATCATTAGATAGCGCTGGGAGGAATTGCCTCAAATTAATTTCACAATATGTTGAGCAGTTTCCCTCGATAACGATAAATGGACAACATCTACGTATACAGTGGTAGTTAGAGGGAGCGGTGCCGGCGGTAGATTTGGTCTAGTTCCCATAAAAATCCTTCAACAGTTTGGCAACATTTTAGATTCGGTCATTGATGCATGTTTGAGGACGGAGAAGTCAGCTGGAGGAGAACGTAGCTTCACATGACAAGATTTAGACTCCTTACCTCTGACTGGCCAACAGCCACACGGACTCCATTTGCTCCGCAACTTTGATGTTTTATCTCCACAAATAACTCAAGCTTGAAGGAGTTCTGCTGTGTGGTGGAGTTGCTAATTCTAATGGTTAGCTTCTATAGTCGAGACACACTCTGCTGTTTCCTGGAAGCTAAAACAACAACAGCCTTTCCCATCACGAGTCAAGATGGGCAAGTCCAAGAATGTTAAAAGACAGTGTTCCGTAGATCTGTCAAAATTTTCAAATCCTAGAGTTTCACCGTCTGTTTTTGATCAAAAGCTAATGCAGGAGAAAGGCATAGGAGACCATTTCCATGTTCAGCCTGCATGTTAAACTCAGAGTGATCGACTAAAATCAGAAATAATCATTTAAAAATTTTTTCCAGTGAAGGTGATCTTTAACAGACACAACATAATGTGTAAAATGTTCTGTAACGTCTTCTCAAACTTAAAGAATGATTGGATCTGTCTCAGTAATGATTCTGGATTCGAGTCTTGTTCTTTCACAAATGAATAACAGTCTAACATATCAAAGAAATGGCTTGGACATTGAGCTTTGAACTTGTTACTTAACAGCTTTTACATTAGCATTTTCCCCTCCCACTTAATGTTACTACACATGAAATAAACATGTTCTGTGGAAAAACATGCTTTGCTCACCCAGCTGAACACATAATGGTGCAGTTTGCAGCTTCTATATTTTTATGTCATTTCAACAGCCGCCTTTCCCCCGGATTGCTTTAGATCATGTGTTCTAAAACCTGTTGAGCCTGTTCAGAAAAAATCTAATCTTGTTGGAGGTAGTTTTCTTTTTTGTGACAAGATATAAATAGCAGGAGTTGTGCAAGATATGTTCAACAGGTTGGATTGTCACACAAAGTACAGATCACAGTCTGTGACTGGAACACTGGTTGATGAACAATGGTGGCCACACAAAGAAAGGCTTTGAAACAAAGTTAATACAACTTCACTTAAAAAAATATTCTACTTTTACGATAAGAATTCGAAAACATCAATAAAACCAAATGATGACTTGGAATCAGTATTATGACCGCAACGTCAATTCTTTTATTTTGGTGAAGCCTCTGAACTTGGGTCATGTTTATTTCATAATAAACCATATTGACTTGAAACAAGCAGAAAAGCTGTCTCAGCCATGGGGTTGAAACACTTATTTTTTGCATATCAAGTGACAGTTATAGTGCAAATTTTAGAAACCGCACTGGCACATTTCTTTAATTTTGACAAATGATTGCAGTGGGTGTTTATTCCTGGAATAATGCTGATGATGCACGTTTTTCTAGCACAGCACTCATCTGTTCATCTTATCTGACCTTAACCCAGGGAAGCGAGTTTGTATTGTCTTACATTGGTGTAGGGATGTAAAAAAAAGAAAGAAAAGAAAACAGTCTGAAGTTAAGTCCTTGTGCATGTTATCTGCTGCGATAGGGCCTATTGTGGCTTAGGAAGAAGAAAGGGTTTCATGCTTTAGACACAATATGATAGTTTGACTTGCGGGAAATCTCAAGAGTGCCTTACAATTTAATTCAAAAAGTTCTCCCAGAGAAATATTCAATGTGGAAATGCTTATTTAAGTTTCTTGCTCCTGATAATAAAAGTTATTCACAATCATGATACGTCAGGGATCATCGAGAAAGGATCTTTTTTTTTACCCAATGAAGCATTTAAATGACATCACAGTTACAGCTGGTTTTAAACAAGGAACTGGATGTTTTTTTTTGTAGCCTAGAACATGGGACATTCTTGGTTAAAAATATGTAACCCAGAACATGAGCTTTAGTTTAAATGAGATATGGCATGAATAATCATTTCTGAACTTCTTGGAAAACCCTGTTATTTTACTTTATAATGGATTCAGCTCAGAAGCTGTTCACTCTCACTGAATATTGCTTTCAGAGATGTTCTTGAACTTTCTGTCACTTTCAGCATTGCTCTGCACTTCGACAAGGTATATTTTATACAGTAATATGTGTCCAAAGGTTATTGTTCAATAATTCAACTGAGTATTCAAAATATCCCTTACTGTGGACAAGTCCTCAATAGGGAATGTTTTTTTGTGTGAGCTCCCAACACTTTAATAAAGCAAAATAATGATTGCCTTTTGATGAATGCATCAATAAACGGGTTAAGCAAACACAAAAATGAAGAAAATTTGGAAAACATTATTTTAACAGCCTAAATTAATAGAAAAACACACAGAATAGATTTTCTGTTGTGTTTTGGTGCTTTTTGAAAAATCAAAAAATGGCAAGTTGTGAGTAAAGATGTGCAGAACATATAAAATGCTCCCCACAAAGTTTCGATGGTGGCTAAATTTGAGTATAAAGTAAAGCAAAGCAAAGCATGGCAAGAATAAAACACAACACTGCAACAAAAACACTGTATTGGAGATCATTGAATGATTAAAAGGCACCAGATTTGCCATTGTTCGAGGAGTCTTAAAACAGATTGTGTACATGAGGTTTTTCTCCAGAGCCAGCTCTGCCTGCCTACACTTCAGAAGGACCTTTGAACAGTTGGCATTCTGTCTCAAAGTCACAACCATTGAGCAGATCACTGTAGTGCTGTTTGACATCTTGATAGAGCGGCATTGATGCCTGCTGGTTGGTTAGACCTGGGAAGGCCACTGGGTTCTCATTGAGCAGAGGCTGCAGTCTAAAGTCGCCCCCTCCGCAATCATACAGAACCATGACGAAGTTAGCAGCGTATGGCAACATCTGGCTGGTGCGGAAAGAGCGCTGGGTCTGCGTGGCGTAGTTTGCTGATGTAAGGGGATCTGTGTCCTTGAAGAAGCCCAAAAGGGTAAAAAGTGGGAGGAGGGTCTCAGCATGGCCGACCTGCACTGTCACTGCTTCGCTCACCTGCTCACCCGATCTGGAACAGAAAGTAGTAATCATCAAAGAATCAGCTCTGAAAATCTTCCACAGGCAAGAAGGGTGAAATAATATCCTGTGAAATGTGAACCTTTTTTTTTAATAACAAAAGACATAAGCAGGGCAAAGTTATTTGTTTAGTCATTGTTAGGTAGCACATGCAGTCAGCACTCTTGCAACAGTGACTGTATTTCCTATGCACTATCGGCATAAAACAAATCTAGACATCTCTTCACTTTTTCCTCATTGTCAGGCTCTGACAGCTTTAGCGATGCTATCTTTTGTAAATCACTTGTCTCAAAAATAAATAATAAAACTGGAATTCTATTGCTGTCTAATTTGTTTCTCCCTTGTGGAACAACAATAACAACAATAATAGCACTGAAATCCTGACTTGAACCTCATATTACCTCAATAACTCACTAAACTTGTTTTTGTAAATGAAGATGAGACTTTGATTTTGAGTCAAGGCTGTGTGTCACCATTACTGAAGCTGTTGGGTTGGTGTCTTTCATCCATGTCAAACATTTGGTGGATGGACACTTAACATATGGAGAGCATTTGGCCTGGAGTCTAACAGACCTTAATGGTTTTGAGGGAACTACAGAGACGAATGTAGGTACAAACACCCTCAAATGCAAATGAATCAACAGCATTCAACTACCAAGTTCCAGAAATACACAGACTCATACATTCTTGTCATCTCACTCCATATGAATTACGGTCTGCAACACTTTTTGTGTTTTTTTTTTTTGTGTGTGTGCTTTATTTATTAATTTATTTTAATACACAAGGATGGTTAAACAATGTGCCTGTGGCACATGCAAAAATGGCACACAGTATCCCGAGAGGATAATAAACGGAGTTTATAAAAACCCATTTCTCAAACTAAAACAAAACATGGACAAATGCCCCTGTTGGATAAAGCTGAGGGACAGACCACAGTTGACTCAATGTGACAACTATTAACAAGGTTGGCTGTTTGTTCTAAGGTAAGACAGTTTCGTATAATCTTAGCAATCAGATCAAATAAGTTAATATCAATCACTTAAAGCCTAATGCTAATGAGCTAGCCACCTAGCAGGTTGTTAGCTGCTGAATATGAACAAAGCTGGTCTTCAGTGGTGTTTCTCTAATCAAAGATGATGGGGGCTTCTCACTCTTGATTTATGACCTAAAGGTTAGTGTTAGAGACCGACTGATATGTCACGAGGTGGTTTCAGAGAGAGGTTAGGACCCAAGATGCAGAACCAGATAACGAGGCAGGAGGTGGAAAAATGTAAAAATCCTTTATTTAGGAGTAAATCCAGAGAATGAAGGGAGCCAAAAAACAAAATCCAAAAATCCTAATAACTAAACCTAGAGAATCCAAAACATAAGAGACCTAGAGATACTAAAGCTAGAGAGGGGGACGAGACGAGACGGGATGGGACGAGACGAGACGAGACGAGACGGGATGGGACAAGACGAGACGAGACGGGATGGGACGAGACGAGACGAGACGAGATGAGATGAGACGAGACGAGACGAGACGAGATGAGACGAGGTTGACACAAACAATGAACCAACACCACACTGAGACACAGACAGGGTTAAATTCACTGGGGTAGGATGAGAGGGAGATGAGCTGCAGGTGTGTGGAGAGAGAAACCTAGTGAAATCAATTAACTAATCAGTGAGGGGAGAGTAACTTGACCTAGGAGTAAAAACAAAACCTGAAGACAAGAAGATAAAGATAAACAACTAATGATCTGAGGAGAACTAAATAACCAGTGGAGAAAGAAACACACTAAAAGAGACTAATAAATGAAAAGCTGAACCTATAGGAAAAAACTACAGAACGAAAAACTACAGAGGTGTGACTAAGGGAGACCACGGGAGCAACGGACCTGGGGGGATACCTGGGGAGGGGGAAAACCTAGAGGGGCTGCAGACAAGGACACATGAGGAAGATGCAGACAAGGACACATGAGGATGCTAGGAGACACATAAGGAGAACCTAGAGAGGGATGGAGAACACATGGATACACATGAGGGAAGACGCAGACACAGACCATGACAATATGGGCATGTGGGCACTGGGCCAAGGATCAATTCAAGATGGAAATCCCAGGTAATATCAGCCAATGCAAAAATGGCTGTAACTCAGTTTTATATCCAATGGGCTGAAATTAGATATAATTTTCAGTTTAAACATGTAGAGGAGGATGAAATGGAAAAAAAGTTGCTAAATATAAATAGTAACAAACCTTGTGGAATTGATAACATGGATGGAAGACTTTTAAAGATTGTAGCTAAATTTTTAGTCCAGCCTCTATGCCATATTTTTTATTTATGTTTTGATGAATGTCTCTATCCTGATATGTGGAAAATCTCAAAAGTTCTACCTTTGTCTAAAAAAATAAAAATAAAACGTTGACAGGGAAAAATAGTAGACCAATTAGTATTTTACCAGTTCTACGTAAATTGATGGAAAGAGTAGTATTTAAACAAATTCAACATTATTTTCATGTGAATGGCATTTAGTCTGGTGTTCAGCATCCTTATAAAGAAGGCTATTCTACCAGCACAGCTCTGACTGCCCTCACTGATGAATGGTTGAGACAAATTGATAGGACGCGATTTGTAGGAGCAGTTTTTCTGGAATTTAGTGCAGCTTTTGATCTTGTGGCTCATGACCTTTTTTACAAATGAAATTATCAGCATATGGTTTTAAAAACTCTGCTACTAATTTTATGTGTACTTACTTGTCTAATAGGAAACAGTGTGTTGTATACAATGGTTGCCTATCGAACACTGTCGATCTTTTGTGTGGGACTCCCCAAGGAAGTTGTTTGGGTCCTCTGTTATACAGTATTTTTGTCAATGACATGTCTTTTGCATGCAGTGAAGCACACATGACTGTATATACCGATGATACGACCATATCTGTTTCGGCTTCCAGTTTAGATCAGGTCAATGTTATGCTGCAGAAGGAACTAAGGTCCATTTCTGAGTGGGTGGTGAGGAACAGGCTAAAACTGAATGTGCTGAAAACCAAGTGTATGCTATTGGACTCCAGGAACCTTATACAAGAACATCAGAAGCTGCACATTTCTTTGGAAGGACAACAAATTGAACAAGTAAAAGAGACCAAATCAATATCATGGACTAAACCTATTGACAAAATTGTGAATAAAATGAGTAGGAACATCTCTGTAATTAGGTGCAATGCTCATTATTTGCTGACAGAAACCAGAAAACTAGTTTCACAGTCACTGGTTTTGTGTCATCTGGATTACTGTCCAGTTGTCTGGTCCAGTGCAGCTAAAAAGGACTTGGATAAACTACAGAGAGCTCAGAATAGAGCTGCAAGGCTAGCTCTTGGTTGTCCTTATAGAGCCAATATCAACTGGATGCATCACAGGTTGTCCTGGATGAAGGTAAATGTCAGATTAGCAGAAAACTTGGGATATCACATAAACATTTTAATTTGTTCACAAAGTTGCTACCGACATGTAAGAGACATGGTTTTAACACAAGGAAAGCCTCCCAAGTAACCTTTTACCCTTCCATTGCCAAAAACTAATGTCCACAAGAGAACAGTCATTTACAGAGCTGTTTCATATTGGAATATCCTGCCTCCAGGAGTGGCATTAATAAATGATCATGGCAGATTAAAAACAATTCTTAAGACTTTGGTCATACATAACAACTTAAAATTAAATGACTGATGTGGGGTTTTTAATTAGTTTTATATAGTTATTAATTGGCCTGTTGGGTGGGGGTGGGGGTGGGGGGTGCATGTGGGCACTGGGCCAAGGATCAATTCAAGATGGACATCCCAGGTAATATCAGCCAATGCAAAAATGTCTGTAACTCAGTTTTATATCTAATGGGCTGAAATTAGATATACATTTCTGTTTAAACAGAAAGACTACCATTTTCTGTTTAAACATGTAGAGGATGAAATGGAAAAAATGTTGCTAAATATAAATAGTAACAAACCTTGTGGAATTAACATGGATGGAAGACTTTTAAAGATTAAAGTGTTATTTTCTTACCTGCCTTGTCTTACACCCTGAATTGCACACATGTTGTACTTCGATTTAAATGAAAATAAGTGGCGTGTGTTTTGACCAGGCCAGTCACGTATTTTGAGATTTATTAGCTTGTGACAGTTTGTAATTATTGTGACTACAAACCAAATGTCTGCACGTCGCAAATCACTAGATCACATCACCACAGAATCTCCTCTGCCTTAACGTTGCTGCTACGTACCACATGGAGAGATTTATGGTGTTTCTTACCTCCTGAAGGAAGGAGTCAAAGTTCGCTGAACTTACAGCCATCTTTCCTCTGCCTTTTTTTCCATGTCTGGTTTGATTACATCACTTTGGTGAAGCGTATTTGTAGTACTGGAAGTATTTTCACACAAAACCTAAAATAACATTTCCCCCTGTTCGGAAATAAGCGCTTTCTTGGTATCAGAATGCATCTTTAAAACTCACAGACATCATATGTGAAATCCATGGCACACAACAAATGGGATTGGAAAATATCATTTTTAGCCCCATGGACTTGCATTCATTTTTTCGTTCTTCCGAGGACCCGTGGTCTGGAAGTAGATGGGCAGGACTTAGGCACCCTATAACCTTCAGTCTAACTGTGATTTCTATATAATGGAATGGCTAAAACATTACCTTTACATCATATTTGAGGCCTAAAATTTACCCGGAGCTCCTTCCCAGACCATCACACAGCTTTGCTCCTAGAATGTTGTTTGCTACTCGACCACTCCTAGAGAATAATAATGGGCTAGAATTTCCTCTGTTTGTAGAAAATGTTTCTAACTGTGAACTTGTGAAGCTCAAATTCTCTAAAGACAGGGTGAGGTCCTAAGAAATGTTTGTTTGCACTGTGCTACACAATCAGATTTGCTTAGATTCTTGTTTCTTGAATTAAAAAAAAGGCAACAGACTCTAATCCTAATCTAATTTGTCATCCCTTTGGTTTAAAGACTCATATATGTAATTTAGCTTTAGTGAAGTCTCCTGAATGTTTGTTCTTAAAAAGGTTGAAAGTCACAAGTGAAATAGTGGCCCTTTTTTGTTTAGGCAATGTGAAGGAATGAGTAAATTATGTCTGTTACACGTTCACAGACTAGAGTGTTTGGTCTAACTGAGGATCCAAACATTCTGAGTCTATCAAAATAAGATGAACTCATGCTGTCACGGTGATAAAAAAGCAAATCGCCTAACAGAAAAAACAAAACCTAAAAGAAAATGTTACTTTTGCCCCAAAGATAAAACCAGTCATCAGCAGGTTTTGAATTAAGAGTACTGAACCTAAAACTTTAAAATGGGTTCTACATCTAATGGGTCTGGTCTATTGCCAACAACACGTTGATGAGAATTGAAATGACTGAATGTGCCTTTTGGGTTCTACTCACTGCTTCTCTTTGACTGCTTTGTCCAGACGGCTGAACACATCATGGAACAGGATGCAGCTGGATTTGCTGTTTATGTCGTATCCATAGCCTCGTTTCCAGAATTGCTTCAGATCAATTGCGTACTCCATAACCTGTAAAACCAGATTGGGAAAAATTCCCACTGAGCATGAAGAAGACTCCTTAAAGTGGCCGAGTGTAGTTTCCAGGCACTAGGGGGCAGTACATACATACATACATTTCAGGGTAGTTTTACACCGCCTTGCCCTGTCACTAGTAAAAAATAAATAAATAATATTACAGTAAATGCTGTTACCTGTGGTGCAGAAAGCACACAATCTCAGATGGTCCTTCAGTTACTTCCATCAAGGGAATGTAATGCTGATGCTAGTTTTCTGGATCTGCTCAGCCTGCACCTGCCCATAAAGTCATCACACTATGGCAATACCATCAGGCCAAAATCTCTTTTTCGATTCTGTACTGTCACATGTGTTTTGGAAAGAGTTTAGAAGCTTTGTTATTAAATTTGTGTGTCCTAAATTATTTGAATGTGGTAACGTAACTTCCATAAGTCATACGTCCAGCCAGTCATCTAGTGTGATGTCATCAACAGGCGCAGGACCCCGAGCTAGCCAGAAGCAAACATGGTGTCTAATATGGTGCCCCCCAAAGATGCTAAAGCTACGCACTAGGTACTTTAGACTCCATTTTTGTGGTTACATCATATGGTACAAAGCCCCAAATATTTTTCAACGACTGGACATCATTTTATTCATTTTCAACAACATTTCGATGGATATTTCCAGAGATTAATGGTAAAAACTACACATTGTCTCTTTAATTAGACACAAAGAGCTGGTGTGTAAAAATGAAAAGCCTATTGTTATTCTAGGCCCTGATCACTGTTTATGACATGTTTCAGCAACCGTGGTGACAAAGCAGAGATAAAAAATTGTTTTTATTTGTTGACTTAATTATAAGCTTTATTATGTATAAATATTTAAAGTAACAGCAATATAACTTCACTGATGATTATTAAAACACATAAAATAACAGTATAAATCCAAATATACTTTCTCATCATGCAACAATCAAGTACAGTTTTGATTCACTACACAAATAACATGAATAGAGAGAGTCAAATGTATCTTCATTATGATCAGGTCAGAAGCGTGAACATGAATGAAGCAGAAAACATGCAGCCCTCAGGTGAGATATTTTGTTCATCCCAAGCGGAAGAAATGTTTCAGGGTGTAATCTTTTACCTGTGCATCAACTTCGTCAAAGAGCCGACACCACGGGGAATTCACAGTTTTGATGGCAAACTCATACGCACACAGGTAAAACGCCGCTTCCACCATATCTGCAGGAGAACATTCAAAACATTCAGCTACAAAATGAGACAATCAAGCCATTAAAACAATAATTTCTAATCAAATGTATCAAGTCAGAAATGTTAGTTGTCAGCAGTTTTATATTTTTAACATGTAAATTGAATATACTATAAAAGTCATTATAGGAGAACAAAAACCTTAACAGGTCTGGAAATGTTTTAAATGAATTAAAAAAATAAATAAATAAGTAAAAGATTATTCCTAAAAGTAACTCAGCCTGTCAGATGAAAGAATTGAGTTAGCTTTTGTAGGAGGCTTTTTGGTAGCAATAAGAGCACAAGAGTTTCTCTAGACATTATTCACAAATACTAAAGGGAACACTGATTCTAATACATGGAAACAGCACCACCTACTGTGTAAAGTTAACATAAAAAAAGCCCCAAACAGTGTACAACTGCATGTGGAGGACATTGTAGATATAATTCACTATAATCTATGTGTTTGTGTTAAGTGATGTTAGCAGGTGTTATAAGTAACTGGTGTGTTTCTGTTGAGTGGTGTGGGTTAGGGTTAGGACCTAAGATGTACAAAAATGCGTCTGCCTTTCCCTTTAATAAAATAACTTCATTAGAACTGTTGTGTCAAGAATAGAGAATCATATGTGAGTTAAGTTGGAGAGAGCTGGGTGGCACAGTTGTTGTCACTGTTGCCTTTCAGGAAGGATCGTGTCCACATGCATGCATGGGTTTTCTCCAGGTTCTCTGGCTTACTCCCACAGACCAAAAACTTGCAAAGCAGGCTGACTGTAGACTCTATAGTGTTCCTAAGTGTGCCTGTGAATGGTTATTTCTGTGTAGTCCTATGATGGACAGGGCACCTGCCCAGGATGTCCCCTGCCTCTTGCCCGATGACCCCTGGTGTTAGGCACCAGCTCCCCCAACCCTGGTGAAGAGGAAGCAGTTTGGATAAGCATTGGACATCACACAACACACATATTTGCAATATTGCAAAACATGCAATATTGTTGCATGTCGAAGACTGTTAGATGCATGTGAGTTAGTGTATAAAGAATTACTTTTTTCATTCCTGTAAACTATGTTATTCTGATCTAATCATGAAACTTTCCTTCAGTAAAAGAGAATCTAAACACTGATTATATATGGGCTGGGACGATAATCAATAAATTAATTAATCGTACGATAGATGAAAATGAACTCAATAATTTTTTCAGCCTCAATGCAAAGAGGTTAAGAAATGTACAACTCTATTATTATTATTATTATTATTTATTATCATTAGTGAAGTGCAGTTTTGGTTGTTGACACTGGATAAGACATTGTATTTATTGTTTTGGAGAGATGGGGTCTATTTTATTGTTTTTGGTGCAATATTTCCTAACAGATAGTTAAAGTCCTTTTTTAATTTATTAAATATTTTATTTGTTTTATTTATATATTTATAACTCCACATGTGCTCATCCATAGTTTTGATGCCTTCAGTGAGAATCTACCAATGCAAACGATCATGAAAATAAAGAAAACACATGGAATGAGACAGGTGTGTCCAGACTCCTGGCCGGATATATATATATATATATATATATATATATATATATATATATATATATATATATATATATATATATATATATACACACACACACACACGCACACAGACACACACACACACACACACACACACACACATATATATATATATATATATATATATATATATATATAACCATGAGTTTGTGATCAACTTTTAGATAATCCCTCATTGTAGATCATGATGGCTAACTTAAGCTGTGCAACCATATCACAGATTTATTTAGAAACTATTCACTCAGTTTATATATATATATATATATATTTTTTTTGTATTATTATTACTTTACAAAGTGTTTGTTTATTGCTATGTTGTTATAATTAGTATGAGGTTGAATCTTGAAATGTGGTGTTAAAATAAAACAACGCTTTGGATATATTACTATTAATAATGCTATAAAATGATTAAGAAAAAAAGATCGTTAGTAGGCATTTGGCCATGGCTTTGTGAACATTTAATTATATTGGTTTAATTGTGAAATCTAACAGTTAAAAAAGCTAATATTTGCCTAAAATACCCCCCACCAGTGGAAACGTTGATCAGTTACACCAAAACAATAGTACAGGCCTGACTAAAGTTATATATAAAGGTCAGTCTGACCTGAACCGGAGCATTGAAATAACTATTTTAACACCGACCATCTGTGATGAGGTTGTATGGGACTTCCAGTCTGTCTGCTATCTTCTGCTGGACCCTCATCATCTCTAGGCCCTTGCTGAACTTGTCCAGCTCTGTCATCGCAGATGGGTTGCTATCAACTTCCTGCACAAATTTGTGACACAGCTCAAAGAACCTCATAAGGGCATCGTTCATTTCATGACCAAACTCCACATCTGCATAGAAAAAATAAAAATAAAACAGAGGTTATGGTGCTTCCGTGTGAATAACGTGATGTTTTGTTATTCATGCATGACCTGCAATGTCCCACAGGCTCGTCAGTCCGGCCTGGAAGGACAGCGTGCTGTTGACGCATCTGTGCTTGGAGCTGGTGATGAACTTGATGAGTCCATTTCGAAGCTTCTCCTCTGAAATCATGGAGGGGAACATTTTAGACAGCCGTATGGCCAGATGTTTGAGGTCTTCCACCCCTTTCTGGACCAGTCGGCCGTCCATGTCCTCGGTGTACCACATCGCCCACAGGTTCTGGATCTCACGCAGCCAGTTGTGCGTGCCTGTCGCGCTGCTCCGGACCAGATTGTAAAACTTCCGCATCTTCTTGACATTTTTGGCCGTCGGGTATCAAGGCCCATGTCGGATTATAGCGGTCAGATGGATCTCGTGGCACTGCGGGGCCGGAGGCTGCAAAATAGATCTGTTTACCGCAAGAATGTCCTCTATGAGATACGGGTTGACTTCCTCATACCTGCCTTTCGTACAGAAATATTTAGCGATTGGCGGAATATTTGGGTTTTCTTCCGGAACCACATCGTGTCGAAAACAAGAGAGGCCAGTTATGATGGTAAAGGGAATAAAAATGTTTCCCCATAAAGTGATCATCGTAACTTCTTTGGCTTGGAATAAAACAGACTGCGCAGGCAGACCCAAAACTGAGTGTGACGTTGTCCACGAGGGACCAGACAGCCAATCAGGCAGAGGGTCCATCTTTGAAAGGGTATGTACATTTTTATTATAATAATTTTATGATCTGTAAATACATCATGTTCATGAAATTCTTCCCTCTCACATCTAGCTATCTTTTAAGTTTTATTCTTGACAGTTTCAACACCTTCCTGATTCAGGAATCCTGAATTAGACATTTCAGAGCTCCCACTTTAAAGAGCAAGTCACCCCCAAATGAATATTTTGTAGATAAAATGTATTAATTTGTATCTAGTGCTGTAGACATGTACAGTCATTATTTCGTCAGTTTAGTGAATCTTATTCAAAGGCACACTATGCAACTTTTTCCTATTTTCTTGAACCAGTATGTGTTCTGAAAATGACCATTTCAGGGTTAACAAAATGCCCCTCAGACGCCACTACCCCCTGTGGTCAGAATATCACACTTGCAACTTGAGTGTTGGTGGGCCACTGTACCTGTTAGGTCTTACTTTAGTCTTAGTCTCTTTCCGGAGTATTTCTCTTATCTGATGGCACCATCTAGTGGCTGACAAACAAATCACACAAAAAGTCTGTCGCTCCGTATTTTTTTAAGATGGCGACTTCACGTTTCTTCTTTATAAATGTGCTTCTGTAGCCGACAAACAGAGCTAAACATGCTGTTTTACAAGTATTATTCTCATGTCATGTTGCGTTTTCATATATTTATATTTTAAAGACTTTCTTGTCCGTGAAAAGTTCATCAACTCTGCATCAGCCGAGGTATTCCTTAAATTTGAACATAAGCGGTAGTCTAACATTATTGGTTAGTTCTGGTCGGCGCTCTGTTTCCTTTTGCACGGAGCTCTGCGGGGCAGGGTGTGTGCTTAGCAAAACAAAAAAAAGACGTATTGCTTACATTCTATCACAGTACATGATAAGATAATCACTTTTACAGATTTCTGAAAAACCATACATAATTTCTGAAAGTAGAAAACTCCGGAAAGCTACTTTAAGCCTAAATGATACTTTTGCGTCTGCGTCGGGGCAGATGCACGCAACGCCATCATCCGTCCTTTCAAGGGCTCTCCGACAGGCTCGCAAGGACGGACGGAGTCAAGCTCTCTTTTCTAAACATCTGTCCATCAAGACAGAGAACGCAAGCTTGTGATTGGTCAGGAAGCCGCGGTGGTCTACAGCGCTGCCATTGCGCCCCTCAGAAGCATAAAGAGAGCTGAGGATATCTAGCAGCAGACACAGCTTGAAGAATACCTCGCATAAAAACTCTAAAAACACGAACGTTTTATTCCCCCGTGACTGGAGGAGTAAAAAGTTACGAAGCAAGTGTTTTATTCGTGGACGGAAATGACAGAAAACTTGGGTTTAGAGGTGGCGAGCGCATGAAGAGGCGGAGGAGGATGAGTGACAATTTTGTCCGTGTAAAAAAGTCTCTTAGATACAAAAAACACAATATAAACACACTATCTTGGACCGAATACATGACAGGATACCACAGAACAGCGCTACGCCCTCTGTTGTCCTAGCGGGGAATTGCTTTGTAAGTTCATGCGTGGGTCTCTCCCGTCTACACGTACCTGGGTATCTCCCAAAACAAAGATATTTTTCACAATTTGGCCAATTCATCCACACAAAAACACAGATTAACACAATGAAAACAAATCTTTTTTTAAAACTCCGGCCAAAGTGAATATTTGCATTTTCTCTGTTTAAAGCATTTCTGTGTGGACAGAAATTACAAGAATTTTAGGGTTCTCAACATCACTGTCTGCGACTAAAATGCTGACAGCCCATGTGCGACCTGTGTTTTGTACACTACAATATGGATGCTAAGAGCTGTGTTTACGTTATCAATCGTCCAAGCACTTTTTGTCTTAGCAATTCTACCTCCTTAGTTCACACAAACAAGCTAGGCGCCATGGTTCATGTTTTGTTGGTTGAGCCGGAAGAAGAAAAAGGATTCAGGGAACTACTGCCACACACAGGTCTGGCATGCGGTTACTTGTGGATTGAGTTTTTTCTATGAATGACTAATAACAAGCTCTAGGGGGTGTAAATCTCTTTCTGTAGCTAGCAGGGAGTTTAATCGTCACAGCTGTGAAGAAGTGATTTTTTTGTTATCCAGTCTTCACTTTATATAAGGCCTTGTTGAAATGTGCTTTGTAAACCACCACCAGTTCCAGGGTGGGTTTTATGATGGATTACTTCTTCAAATTGGTGCCATTCCAATGTTAAAACCACCCAATGGATCCAAGAGCACCTGGCTGCAGACATCAGCTGGCGTCATTGCCGTGACAGGAAATGACGTATCCGGAAAAACAAGACATCGGGTCATTACCTTCGCCGGAAGTCATTACCTTTGCCGGAAGTAGTTTGGATTAGTTGAGAAAAAACGTACCGTGTCGTTTTTCTCTTCGATATGTACATATTTAAGAGAAAATTTACACGGTGGGTCATTACCTTCCTGTAGTGACCCCTTCCTTTCACCACATCACCCCGGTTCTCCAGCAGCTTCACTGGCTCCCAGTTAAATTCAGGTCCATCTTCAAAATTCTCCTCCATACCTTCAAAGCTATCCACAACCTCTCTCCTCCATATATCTCAGACCTTATAAGTATTCACACCCCGTCCCGTTCACTCAGATCTTCTTCTTCCATCCATCTTGCGGTTCCTTCTGCCCGTCTCGCTACCATGGGGAGCAGAGCTTTCAGCCGCTCTTCTCCCCGTCTCTGGAACTCACTTCCCCCAGACATCAGGAACATCGACAGTTTTACCCTTTTCCAATCAAAACTCAAAACACACATGTTTAAATCTGCCTACAACCTCTGATTTTATTAAATTGTTTCTCTCTTTGTTTTTTCTTGTTTGGGTTTTATTATTGTTTTATTGTATTTTATCACGTGTTTTCTGTAAAGTGACCTTGGGTGTCCTGAAAGGCGCTTTGAAATAAAATGTATTATTATTATTACCTTAACCAGAAGTCATTACTTTCACTGGAAGTAGTTTTTTTAAACAAAACTTACCGGAGAAAGCTTTTTATTTCAGATTTTTTTTCTCTTTTCAGATCTGGACTGGCAAACTTTTAAATAATGTTACCTACGTTGCATGAAAATTGAATATTAAATCCCTTTGTTCTTCTGACAGAGAATTTTTATGACAGTAGCACATACATATGTGTGTGTGTATATATATATATATACACACACACACAATAAAAGGCTGTAAAGTGAATAAAAAACATATATGGAAAAAATGAGAACATATTAAACTAAGACTTTTCAAAATGTGCAAACAAAATAGTACTTGCTAAATATTCCGTTTTTTTTTTCATATTTCATTTATTGACATTAAAATAAAAACAGAAAAAAATTACTACAAGCCTAAATGAAAAAGGGTTTTATTGTTAAGCCCAAGATGAACTTTTGACCTACACCAATTGCTAAAGTACAGGACTCCCAGAAGCAGTGAAAAACATTTCAGCAACACTCCTCTCTCACCAGCAACAAAAATTAGTTACAAAATATCCATAACACTGTCCTGTTGTGTATCACAGCAGCTCATTGCAACAGAATTTAACTACTACAGCTGATAACTATTTAGCTAGTTGGTATTTATTTTGAGTGAAAGGCAATAAAACCAAAGAAACACTTGATTTCACAACCATTTTATTTTGGGTACAAATGAATTTGCTGAAGCATGGCTTTCTCAGCTGCATATCGATTCATCCCCTCCCATTTTTCCAACACTTTTATTGTTACCTGAAAAACATGCAGGATTACTTCATCGTCGTCGTCTATCCGGGTCCGGATCGCGGGGGCAGCATCCCAACTAGGGAGCTCCAGGCCGTCCTCTCCCCGGCCACCTCCACCAGCTTCTCCCGGCAGGACCCTAAGGCGTTCCCGGACCAGATTGGAGATGTAACCTCTCCAACGTGTCCTGGGTTGACCCGGGGGCCTCCTGCCGGTGTCGGTACAAGATCTGCTCGGGTGCAAGATCGGCTCGGGTCCGTCGACTGCCGATGACGTCTAAGTAGTTGATTGGCTGAACATGACCTTACGGAATTACGTAATCACGTAACGTTGTTATCACGTGACGTTGGTCCAGGCAAATTTTTTTCTATTGGAAAGATGGACAACTTTTACAAAGAAATCCATCATTACCTCTTTGAAAATACACTTTTAGCATAGAGCTGCAAGTATAATAGGGCTGAACGATTAACTGCATGTGCAATGAAATTGCGATGTGACAAAAGAAGATTTTCTAATGGCAAAGGCTGCAATTTGGCAGCGAGTGGTTAGCGCAATGCTAATATACATGGAAAAACCCATAGGAATGCTAATGCTAATATCGCCGATTACATTATTGCAAATAATGAATTACAAACGTGCCAAATGATTACATTTGGAGTCTAATAGAAAGTAAAAATACCATCAATCAAATAAGTACAGACAGGTTTTTTAGTAAAGCCAGAAAACTTTTAACTCCAGAGTTTTGGCTAGCAGCTACAGTCTATGACAAGATGTCAAAAACTCTAAACACAAAATACTTAAATAAACGGGACACACTTCTTTCCTGCAAATTTCACAGGTGTTGCTAATACCTATGATTCTTCAAGGGATGTGCTCAAAGAGGAGTTCAACATTATGAATAAGATATAGTGTTTTATTTTACAAATACCATTATAAACACAAACTTACATCTTAAGAAACGTTATTTTAATAACGAAAGTGCTAAATTCTTTCCAACAGTGTAGACGTGTAGTGTATTTTGTCCGAGTCGGTTTGCCGTACTTTGACGTCATCGGCAGTCGAAGGACCCCGAGCCGATCTTGCACCCGAGCAGATACTGTACCGACACCGGCAGGACATGCCCGAAACGCCTCCCCAGGGAGGCGTCCAGGAGGCATCCTGACCAGATGCCCAAACCACCTCAACTGACTCCTTTCGATCCGGAGGAGCAGCGGTTCTACTCCGAGTTCCTCCCGAATGTCCGAGCTCCTCACCCTATCTCTAAGGCTGAACCCGGCCACCCTGCAGAGGAAACTCATTTCGGCCGCTTGTATTCGCGATCTCGTTCTTTTGGTCATTACCCAAAGCTCATGACCATAGGTGAGGATTGGGACGTAGATTGACCGGTAAATCGAGAGCCTGGCTTTCTGACTCATCTCCCTCTTCACCACGACAGATCGGCTCAGCGTCCGCATCACTGCAGACGCCGAACCAATCCGCCTGTCAATCTCCCGATCCCTCCTACCCTCACTCGTGAACAAGACCCCGAGATACTTAAACTCCTCCACTTGAGGTAGGACCTCTCTTCCGACCCGGAGTTGGCAAGTCACCCTTTTCCGGCCGAGAACCGTGGTCTCAGACTTGGAGGTGCTGATCCTCATCCCCGCAGCTTCACACTCGGCCGCAAACCTACCCAGCAAGAGCTGAAGGGAGCGAGAGCTGGACCACATCTAGGAGGACCACATCATCCACAAAAAGCAGAGACGAGATTCTCCTACCACCAAACTTTGTTAAGGATTACTTCATACACTGTCAAATGTTTTCGAAAAGTAACTTTTATACCAATCACTGCTGAAGACTGCTTTGTACCTCTGGAACAAGGACATCAAACACCAAGTCCAGAAACTGGAACTCTCCCTTCTTTATTAGTTTATCTATTCCAGAGCATGAACCAATCCGCTCTGTCAGCTCGTCAACCTATAAAACACGTTAACATAAAAATGAACAAAACATTCCTCTCAGCATTAGACAACGGACCCAGGTGGCCCACTGGCCACGCATCGAGATAAATAAATGTGATGCAGCTTATTGTAAGTCAGTATACATTTACCTGTGCATCAGCAAAGTGGAACATCAGTGGCTTTAGTCTTTGCTTTAATTTAAGCGAGACACCTGGATTGTGCCACAGATACATGCGGCCAGACTTCAATCTACCGCTGCAGAGATCCTTATACAAAGTCTGAGTAGAGACAAGAGTTAAAAATTAGCAACATTACCACAGATAACAAGGGATTGCATTATCCTATGTCCAATTTTAGAGTCTTAATTTATTATAATTAAACATTACCTTGATTTCACCATCTGAAGTCACTGCCTGGGTTCCATTTTTCAAAGCCTCGATTGTCCTGTAATTTAGATAAAAATACATCTTATTAGCAAATGAAGAATACAAGCACATGTAAGGAGTATTGTCAGGGTCACTTGAAGAAGTCCGATATTCATTTTAGATCTATATTTAAAGCCTCTAACTCCTGAATGATTTGCAGCTACATGTGCTTAAATCCGGTAATATTAACATAAACCATACCCGATCAAAGCAGTCAGTCGACAAAAATATCTATTTTTTATAAGGTTAGGATTAAAAGAAATTTAATTTTTGGGTGCACAGGACCAGTTCCAGTGTGGGCCAGATGCTGAAAAATAAATTCATAAATCTGTCTTTTTTGAAGTTTCACAAATCAGAGGAAGGTTTCACAAATCACAAACTATGTTTTATGCATTCTGCTACGAGCCCAGAATAATCTAAAAAAGATTTGAAGAACGTATGTGTTGTAGGTTTTGAGCTAGAGCAGAATAAAAATGGTCAGAGTAGAGAAAAATTGGGTGTATTAGCCCTTTAGCCATTTCCCGAATCGGAAGCTAACTTTAGCCTCATATGAATACTAGTGATTGAAACCACTTACAAATTTCTGAAAATCTACGCTTTTTAATAAAAAAAGGGTATTAATAACGATTCAGTCAAGTCAGTATTAGAAATCGTGGTCTTTATATCATATCTAAATTATATATAGTTAATATTACTTTAACTGTTTTAGCAAACGGGGAGACCAGAAAAATCAAATAGCTAAGTTAAAGCTAAGCTACAATTGCTGATTGCTTTATTTATGAAGCTTTCGTGTTAGCTTGTGAACTCCCTGCATTAGTTTTAAGACTGCGTGTTAATATTGATACAATTAGCTAACAACACACGGTGCTTTTGTAATAATTCTCTGGTAAAGCTTTAAATGCTATAGTGCCTACATTTAAGAACTAAGAACGGTTGCAACAAATAGTTAATTTCATCCTTACCTTTCCTCTTTGAAACCCGCCGAGTATGGTTGAAACAAAAGCGGCTGCCAAAAAAGACCAACTTCCGGCCGAGGTCTTTCGCTCGCCGATCTTCCGGTAAAAGCAATGACACGCCATCTTGTTCTCGCTAGAAAGTTTTTCCGGTGACACGCCAGCTGATGTCTGCAGCCAGGTCCTACTCAATGGATCGGCCACAGCAGTGAGTGTACAACCATAATGCTAACTGCTACCTAAATGTTTGTAAAGTTTGGTGGGCAATCTTCAGGGACAAACTTGGAAAATTATCTACCAGAGCCAAACTGATAGACTCTGATAGAAGGTGACTTGCTCTTTAAGAAACCAGGCTGCTGCTGGACACACCAACTATCCTCACTCAGGTTGCTATCAGCTGATAAGCTCGGATATCTGGGAGAAGCTCTACAGCAATTTAGAGCTGTCACCCACACAAAAATAAATTAGAACAATATTACCTTACAACCCAAAATATTTTCTTTTGTTTCATTAAAAAATATGTTGATTTATTTCATTTTAAATTTATTGACTGTTTTTTTTCTGTTTTCTTCCAAACTGCAAGCCTGTAAGAACAGTTTTGCATTGTACCACCTATTAACACATTTTCTGTAAACTTTTTAAAATAATTTTCATGTTATGCATACTTTTTTTAAAAAACAAAACTGAAAGAACAGGAAGACTGGACAGGCTGCTTATCATTGGCTTTGTTTTGAGCAGTGGCTGCAGAATGACGTCTCCCTCACAGAGCATTAGGGGAAAACTAATTACACAAGACATCATGTGGTGGGTATGGAGAGACAGGTCTGAGTCATAGTTTGTTGCTGTCAGGCTTAGTTGTTTTAAAGATGCTAACGTAAGCAGTGGCAAAATATTAACAGCGTGGTTGACCTGGACTGTTACAGCTTCAGTGTCTTGCAGACGTGTGGTAGAACCAAGGCCAAAGGTTTCAGAATGAAGTACAAAGCACAGAATGGATTTAAAATAAATATATAAGCTGTAAAGACAGATCTATTGTGTATGATTTTAACCCCCCTGGTGAAATTACAGTTACTGAAACAAATCTGAATTCAAACTGACACAATGTCAGTCCCATGTCCAGTGGTGCAATAAAAGCAAAAAGCGTGACTTTAACTGTTCAACAAACCTGCAAGCTGAAAAAGGCTAATCAACCAGAAAACATTAAGCTGGGACTCACATTTACTAAATTTATAACTGAGAGTTCATAACAAAAATGTTTCCTACAGCAAATGTATGAGCTATTAAGTGTGCTTAAACAGCTGAATTGAAACAACCATAATGTTGTACTTACTGATGTATTACTGCAGTCATATTTGTAGCAGTAGAACTTCTTAGCTGTTGATCACTATGACAGCTACCCCTCATTCCCTCCTTTGTCGAGGTAATTGATTCAAATTTGAAGTTTTACAGATGTGTTTATGTAGCTAACGGGGCAATAAAATATTAAACAGACTAAACATTACATGAATAAAACAATTCATTTGTTTTTAGAAAGAATACCCTATCAGTAAAAGCCAATGAGAGTGTTAACAAAAGGAGATAAAAATGCTTAGTTTGACAAAACTAAAGATAAAATAAATATTCAAGATATCCTTCCAGCTAACTGGCTGGCACTCAGGTGTTTGAATTGGTCAAGTGCATCAACAACTTTGTGAATTACATTGCAGAAAGAGTAAAATTGCGCATTAAAATGACAAATTGGAGGGGTACCTTGCAATGACCATGCTTTAATCACAGGCCTGGGAAGTTTTTGCACTTGATAACACATAAATGATTCAAATGAAAACTGCTATTTTATACAAAACTTTAATAAATAATAAGCATAAATCTAATTTCTATTTGATTATGCAAAATACATCTACATTAAAACGTCTTTAATTACGTATTTTTTTCTAAATTATGATTTTTAAAAAAATACTGAGGCAATAGTTTCCCAAAATATAAATGTTTTTGTATTAAATGTTTTAAAACAAACAAAACAGATTAATAGTTTTAAAATGTTCCAATTTTGCCTGTAGGTGGCGTCAGGAGATTAACGGGAATTTGTTCCAACGCTACTTTAGGGGGCTCCTAGTTTGCTCTGACACTCGAGCTCGACCATATTTAAAAGTCTTTTAACTTTTTTAATGTGACTGTCATTTTTTCTAGAGCTCGTGGTTATTATTTAGTGTTAATTAGCAGTATCGTTTATTACTGGCTTTTAAAAAAATCACATTTCGTTCGTTTTAACCGTGTATGACTTTGCTGTCTACGAATATTCCTACATTTTCTGATGACAGTGAAGGCATCACACAGGATTCTTCAACCATACCGCTGTCACCGCCTACCCATGAAAACACTAGACTTACTGAAGAGAGTCTCACCACAGGTCGCCGTTAACCTGTGCAATTTCGCAAATCTTTCAGCTTTTCGACAACAAGGTAATTACACCACATGTGTATTTATTACTACTATTTCCTTCCTAGAAGACACATAGCTTATCTACTAAACCGTCTCAGCCCTCTGAGGTAGATTGGTAGAGACTGAAGAAGTCGTGCCAAGGTAGCTGTGTGTTTCTTCGATAACTACTGGGTTGTAGAAACTCTTGTAATAATATCAAATTATGCCGCATCCTACGCAAAGGCTTTATCATGGAAGCTGAACCTACATTTGTACGCTTTTTGGCTAACGTGGCGTTTGCTAAATGCTGCTCACTGGCCTCTAAAGATTTTAACAGCTGTCGAGAAAACATCTCGTTATCATTAATCCTGATAAAACGTGACTAGAAGAGGCCACATCCTGAGCCTTAATCTGAGAAAACCGCCTTCATGTGCAAACACATGTTTTTGTAGCGCGTTAGCCCAGCAACAAATGGCTAAGAAATGTCTCGAATGGTGCTAAATCCGACCAAATTGTGTTTTTAGCTAACAAGCTAGTAGCTAGTAGTCTTGAAGACGCCAGCAGCTTGGCTTTTATTTTTAGGTAGTCGGGCTATAAGCTGTTAAGCCGCACAACACAGGGACTTCCAGAGTCAAACCAAATAATTGTTTCAAATATTGTCGCCCGCCTCTTAAAGTATAAGGTCATCCTATGTATATATTTTAAATTATATGGTACACATTTTAAGAAATCGAACAAATAACTAAACTCATCTTTATTAATGACAGGTATATTTTACCGACAACATTTTGAACAGATATTTATTACAGCATGTCTGGTATTGTTTTTAATTATAATGATTTTATATATATTAACGATATTTTACCCCTTAAGTTACATTTGCCTTGCTTAACTAGACCAGTATATTTGTACGCTGATTTAAATAGTGGTGAGAAAGCAGCCATTTGCATAAACATATCTTCTGTGACAGCACTGTCAAGAGGGGGAAATGTAAAAAATAAAAAATGTCAGCCTTAGGAAGCTGAAGCTGTTTCCTGTTTAGGAAAGGACAATTCAATGTTTTCCACTCCCTGAGCATCTTTAGCCTGCTCCTATTATTAAACTACAACACATAGGCTCTTCAAAACCAGAGTATTATTATAAACTAGTAAAATAGTCCCTAAAACATAGTTTGTGATGTGTGCGATCTTAATTTGATTTGTGAAAGTAAAAACAAAAAGATTATTTTCTGAATTTTTAGCCACTGGAACTGGTTTAGCTCCAAAACTACAACATGTAAACCAGTGTTAATTCTGATAGATTTTTATTTAGTTTTAGTTTTAGCATCTTGACAAAAATTCTAAAGATTTTTTGTCACATTTTTGTAATCCAATTTCTTTTACTTTTAGTATCCTTTTAGTTGACTAAAATTTAAGTATTTTCCTTCTAGTGAAGTAATTTTAAAGTTGTGTAAAGGAAATGTTAACTACAGCTACATGAAACTGTAAAGAAATATGAAAAATTCACATTTCACACTTTGAATCAATAAAACTATAGTTATGATTGTTTTAATAACAATACTTAAAGGGACTTTTCGGACCTTTTAATTTTTATGCTCGCGATTGCCCCCTCAGGCCAATAGCGTAACGGCAGCTTCAACTGTAGGCTCGTGCACGAGGCGCGCATGCTGTACGTGCACACTCCTTAACGAAAATAACAGCTGAGACAGTCAGCTCCGTGTGTGTGTCCTGGACAGAAGAACACAGCAAATTAATAAAAATAATGTGCCTCTGTCTCTGCAGCTGCACTTTCTCGTCGGCCGAACGTGCAGTGCGTGTGCGCGTGTGTGTGTGTGTGTGTGTGTGTGTGTGTGTGTGTGTGTGTGTGTGTGTGTGTGTGTGTGTGTGTGTGTGTGTGTGTGTGTGTGTGGCCTGGAGGACAGAGGACAGGCGAACACGCAGCTAATTAATTAAATAATTTGGTTCTGTACCTTTCTCCTCAGCACAGCCGACAAAGGTTTAAGATGGGTCAGTCCTCCTGCATGCTCAGATCATTCCTTTTCCTTGCTTGAAAAATTGTTCCAAAATGAAAGTTGAACCCACATCTTTTTTATCTGTGAATTCAATGCCTTTCAGCGAGTCTCAAATAAAAATTTGGGCATTTTACTGTAAAAAAAATATATCATTAATGTAAAAAAGAAACTCAAAATGACAAATTATGTTCTCAACTGTAGTCAAACCCAGGTCTTCTGCATGAGAGTCAGACACCTTACTAGGTGAGCTAAAGCGCCAATCTTGTTCAATCTATCTGTAACATTTATATCCTTGATAACACCTGAAACAACGTCAAACCAAAGAACGGTTCGGAGCGAAAATGGCTATTTTGTTGCTAATTTGCAGGAAATATCTAGAAGAAAGTTCTACAGAAAGTAGCTAAGGGTGCTCAGAAATGTAGCTAGGTTTGTCACTAGGCGTTAGGAACAGCGACAAAGTGGCACTACCTCTCTCTCTGCTGCTAAAGCTACGGATGGCAAATGCTACGGGCTATGCCTGAGCGTGAACGCGCATGAAGCAGCCTGCTCGACCCCAGCAACTCTTTTTCTGTGATTTTACAGAAAAACGGGCAATCACAGTAAAAATGCCAGGGCTCATTCTACAGGACCAGGGCATTGCAGGAGAATGTATGAAGAAGAAATTTATTATTTCTGTACATGTTTTGGGTGTCAAACTTCCTTATAGTCCCTTTAATGGAAAATACCAAAATGAACACTGACAGTTTGAGTTTAGTGTATCTCAGCATTATTATAGTAAATACATCTGTATGATGTGCAGTAACATTTGTAAACATGACAGGAAACTACATCATTGTATCAAAACAATAAAACGTGCAAGGGGCTAAACCAAAGGTAAGGATTGTTTTCAGGTGTATTTATTAGTTTTCCCTGGCAATAATGTACCAAGGTAAGCTACCTAAACGTTTTTCTAAACCTCCTGACTGTTTTCTCCTCACAAAAACACTACTAGAACACCAAATGCTAATAATATCAGTTACAAGGACAGTAAACGACCAGATTTGCCACTCTGTGTATTTGGTTAGGCTCCAGCAAACCCCCCTCCCCTTCTGCTAGCCACTACGTAGGTTGCTACCACAGTAACCCCGCCTTTCCACGGGAGCTGTCAGCAGCACGTTACTGCAGCAGCACGTCATAGCTGCTGATAGGAACCGCTGTGGTCAACAGAACCTTTTCCACTAGAGCCGTCAGCAGCCGTCAGCAGCGCGAGTCGGCCGCGTCTCAGGAGCAGCATGTCGCGGCCTTTACGCGCCGGTTCTATTTTCTACGCGTGACGCCTCTGAAACGGGTCAAGTTCGACATTTTTGGGGAAGGAAAGACAGGAAATCTGACGCGGAAATGGAGAGAATCTACCGAGATCTTCAGAATAAAGAACGTACTGCTTTCCGGTTGCTTTACTTTTAAAAAAAGTTACTAACTGTGCGTCCCCGTGAGAAGTTATCACCTAGCTAGCGGTCTCCGTTGTTTTTCAGGTCCGTATTGGCGATTATAAAACGGGCAGAACATAAAACACAAACCATGTTGTAGTTTTCTCCTGCTTGTTGTTGTGTTTACTGACGAAGTCACTCGTGTGACTTCGTGCTCGGTCGGTGACAGCTGCTCCCCTGCTGCTTCGCGTCTCGTGGGAAGGGCCAAGCAGCAGCTTACGCGAGCAAGACGTGCTGCTGCAGTAACTTGCTGCTGACGGCTCCCGTGGAAACCCGGGGTAACACTCTTAAAACCAGGGAAACCTTGGATGTGTTCTCACCAAACAAATTTTTTTCGGATTGTCACAGTTTTTGCTTTTCCTCCCAGCCGTGGACATTCCCTCCTTTTTACACATAAACTTTTATGAGCATAGACGTCCAGTTAGCGGTAGCTTGTTCAAACAGCGGCTGGATTCGGACTCTGATTGGTTCTTTTCTTGTCTAGTCCAGCCTGTTCCATTTGCTGATTGGTTCTTTTTTCCATTGTCCCATCTTTTCCGTTTTCTGATTGTTTCTGTCAATATTTGTTGTCATTGCTTACACATAAATGAAAATGTCCGTCATAATTTAGTCATTATTGGTGTGTATTTTTGAGTTTTTGTTTCGTTTTAGTCCGCAAAAATTCATTCGTCCTGAAAAAAGAAACAAAATTGTTTCCTAAACAAAATGATCACTGAGTAGACTGTCCAAAGCTGGACAGGAAAAGTCTACACCAAAGACGCACGTAGAGCAGAGATAGGGGAAAAATAGCTCAAAACAAGCTACGTTGGTTCCTGTTTGAGGTCTCAACAGATCCTACTTAAAGGAAAACATACATTTTCAGACCTTAGTTAAAACTACACATTTTTATTGAATCTGTTTTCTTGTCCTTCAGTAATTTGCATGCCTTTTTGCTTTCAGTTGCAGAACTGTTGAGACCCCAAATCCACACAGGAACAAATGATTTGTACCCTGTTTGGAGCTTTTTTTTTCCATCTTTGCTCTGCATGTGTCTTTGGTGTAGATCCAAACGAGTTCAAATGAAGAGAACTGGACTTCTTTGGTTTCTTGAAGATGTTTCACTCATTTGAACCCCTTTAGATTACCATGACCTGGATTACTGAGAACCTTCACCAGCACTTTGCTGTAGATTTATTCTGTCCAGGTTGGAAGTGTCTAGGTGTTGTAGTTTTATTATACTGCTGATTAAAGATGCTCAGGGAGAGGAAAACTTGTTTGGAATTGCCCTTTCCTAAACGGGAACCAGAAATGAGAACCAGCTTCAGCGTTGTTAGAGGGTTATTGTTGTCACTGTATCCAGCCTTGTTGTCTGCAAGCCAACACAGATCATGTCAGATTCCTAGCAAGGAAGTAGACAAGCATGGCACAGTTTAGTGGAAACAGTGAATTGTATGTTGTCACAGCAGTACGCCTCGAGTCAGTTAATGGAAAACAGTTTCTTGACAACCACTTTGTTGACCAAACAACACTTTAACTACAAGAGATCAGAGTTTAAACTAAAGTGTTATTGAGCAGATTTTAAAAT